CTTTTGTGTATGATTCCTGTGTGTGTGTGTGTGTGTGTGTGTGTGTGTGTGTGTGTGTGTGTGTGTGTGTGTGTGTGTTGGCATGCATGTAGAGGTAGGGGATAACTTTGGGTATCAATCCTCACATTTTACCTTGCTTGAGACAGGGTCTCTTGTTTGCCACTGTACACCAGGCTAGCTGGCCATCAAGTTTCCAGGCATTCTGTCTCTGCCCTCCATTTCCCCCTAGGAGCACTGAGATTATAGATAAATGCTACCACTTCAGGCTTTACACGGGTTCTGGGAATTCAAACTCAGGTCCTCATCTTTGTACCCAGTAAGTTCTGTACTCACCGATCCATCTTCCCAGCACACAAACTAAACATAAAACCTCTTCCTCTTTTCTCATGTTTCTGTTAACTAAGATTGATGTAGTAAATTCACAAAATGAAAGGACTGCTGCTCTTAAGAGTCCTGAGACATCACAAGGGCATAGTTTCCAAAAATGTCAGCCATAAAGATATAAAGTTCTAATGAGGCATGTCTTGTGACTTCCTTAAAAAAAAAAAACAAAACTGTAGTCATACATGTGATTCATGACTGTTTCTTTGGCCATCCAGGGTTTGTCTCCAAATGATGATCACGGTGGCTCACAACTATAATCCTAGCAGGAGGGAGCATGAGGAAGGACTGTTGTAGGTTCCAGGCCAGGCTGGGTCATGAGTTCAGAGCCAAATGTGAGACTCTGAATAAAATAAGTAAAACGAGATAGATGAGGGAAGGAGGGGAGGGAGAAATTGTCAGAATTCTGTTTGGGTAAGAGATACATAATAAACATTTATGATGAATGAGTGGGTAGTCATCTCATGGATTCAAGTACTGTTGACTACTCATCTGGAATGGGGTCAGTTGTTTTAAATCACATTTGGATACTTTATTCTAGTTAAGTATTATTAAGATACTGACTGACTTAGGTATATGACCAGCCTTTTCTGCAGTTTAAGATTTTTATCTATCAAGTATTAAGACTAATACATCCAGTTCCTCTGAGAGACACAGAAAAAAGCTTTCTATGAAGGCTGTGCTGTTCCATTTCTGGAAATGTCTATAAAAGATCTGCTACTGCATGTTAACATTTGCAGTGACTAAGACAGGCTTTGTCCCCTGGTAGCACTGACATTTGGAGCTGGGTCATTCTTTGTTGTGTGGCTAACATGTATGCTGTAGGAAGTTAAGCAGCACCTCAGATCCTCTGTTTGTCCACTGGATGCCTATAGTATCATGGACTCCCAGTTGTGACAAGCCAGATATTACAGACATTGCCAAGGGTACCCTGACGAGTAAAACTGTCCGGGCTGAGAGTAGCTTAATAGTAATTTTGTTCAGAGCTATAGAAAGAGCATATGTTCTACATTTTCTCTAGCTCACTGTTGAGGACTCTTTAAGGGACAGAACTATTTTAAAAGGATCCGGGGGTTGGGGATTTAGCTCAGTGGCAGAGCGCCTGCCTAGCAAGCACAAGACCCTGGGTTCGACCCTCAGCTCCAAAAAAAAAAAAAAGAAAAACAAGGATCCAGTTCACAAATTCTCATCACTTTAGGTCCATTTTCTCCTTGGGACAACTTTATCATGGGATATGCAAATTTATAAACTCTAAGCATCATTTTTGCACATAACTTGTATACTGAATTATACTAGTGTATAAAAGTAATCTAAAAGCTGACTAAAGGAACTCTGTAGGAGTCCATACTACTACTCCATGATAATACTTAAATTATTTAAAAATTGAAATAAAATCTATTAATCCCTCTTGTTACATTCTACCTCAAGAGTCTATCCATGGAAATTCACCATTATTTCTGGAGTTTGCTTCCTAGAATGGAAGAAACAAGCTAATAATTCAACTTCTGGGTTTATTTCAGATGTATTTACTTCAGCATTACTGTAACTCTACTTACTTCTACTTGAATACTCCATATTTTCAGCTTGTTGACTTTTTATTTAAATCATCAGTATTTAAATGATATGTTGATAGTGTATCTTAATATCCTTATTGACCTTCTCATGTTAATGTTCCCTCTCATCACCCATGTGGGCATGTTTTAGTTATTTTTTGAAGTAACTTTTATTTTAATTGCGTGTGTGTGTGTGTGTGTGTGTGTGTGTGTGTGTGTGTGTGTGTTGCCTACATGCTTATCTGTATATCCCTTTGTGCCTTGTTTCCAGAGAGGCCAGAAGAGGGTGTCAGACCCCTGGGAACTAAAGTTACAGTTATGAACTGTCATGTGGGTGCTGGGAACTGAACTTGAGTCTTTGGCAATAGCAGCCAGTGTTCTTAACCAACCAGCCATCTCTCCAGCCCCATATGGGCATGTTTTAAACATTGCCCCTTTTCCCCTTTTCATTTAGTCATATTTTGATATGGAGCAGGCATAAAAATGCATCGCTATCACAAATTTAACAGGAAACTAAAATTATTTTTTTTAAACTTTAGATAATAGAGTATCCAAATTTTATTGCTAAAAAATAGAATCTCTATTTTACCCTCACATCTTGTAGTCAGCATACATGACAGCAAGGCACTTTTTTAAATTTAACAAACAAGTACAGATTCTGGTTATTAATTTTTCACACATAATTTCTGTATTACTAACATAAGGCAGGATCATCCTGAAAACAAAGACAAAGGAATAAAAAAGGTAATGTATTGGCATGACAGATGAAAAAGATATTAGGTCAGAAGAAACATGTATACAACAAAGCCTACAATTTGAGAAATGTGGAAATCAAAGTCAAGCTAGTTAATTACTAACAAAGATGGCAGCCGTGTTTCTTTTTGTCTTTCACAGTGAATGCATGATTAGCACTTAGTACTAAGGCTCGGGAATAAACCGTCTATAATCTACTGAAAAAGACCATCTGCTTCTATAAATTTTGTTCTCATATACTTGCCAAAGGAAGAGAACGTATTAACAAAATAATGGGCCCTGCTCTGTTAATTGTAGGTTGTTTGCAGTTTTGCTGTTGCTATTAGAATTTAATAAGCCATTCCTTCTGCTAAATTAATAAGCAGCCAAGATTATGTAATAGCTGCTTTCAGCTGCTAATTATTTTCCCATAATTCCTTCTCTACCCCCAGCCCTTTCCATCTTTTTTCTTTTTCCCTTTTTTTCTTTTTTGGCTAGGAACACAGTGATGAGACTGCCAATATGTCATTAGCAAGTCTCCCATCATTTCCAGAGGTACCAAGCAACATTAGTAACATATCCAATGAGTTTAAACTTGGGAGGTGGCTATCTCAGGAACCTTGAGGACATATGCGTTTTGTACACAAAAAGAAAAGGCAGTGTCTGAAATTAGAGGACAGGTTTTCATTGTGTAGTGTTAGTGATATCTTTAAACTGGCTAATGACATCTGTTTCCTGTATTAAGGGAGAAAAAGGACATTGGCATTTCAGGGGCATGTTTGGACAGGAAACAGAGAAATTTGGGCAGGGGGCCTAAAGATCTACCAAAAGCCAATTCTGCTTTCTGTTGGCCACTTTAATATTCCAGTATATATCAATCACACACACACACACACGTTAGTAGGAAACTTTCCAAGCAGCATAGTATTGCTGAAAGGGAAAGATATTCTAGTTTTATTTTGCTAAACAAAGGCATCATAAAATGACCTCAATTCCTATCATATATGATCCTATACATTGACACGGTAAGACATAAAAATGAACATTAATCTCTAATAAGGGATTTCTTTAAATTGAGTAAATACAGCTTCGTTTAAAATGTAGCATCTTTTTCTTACATTGGTTAATTTAAAATTCGTGTTTAGTAACCTCTGCAAGGGAAGCCATGGCCCAACAAATGCTCTTTTGGCTTTCTTTGTAGGAACGGAGGTGACTGGAGTAATGAATAGCATTTGGCATGGGAAATCCATGGCTGTCCAAGCAAGGTCACCTAATCCTATGGGTCTCCACTGCCCCTATCTATAAAAGATCAGTTGAACTACATGATTCATCCATTCTATCATTCAAATAAAACATGGACATCTATTATATGCCCAGAACTAAATCAACATTTCAGCTTTTAACCAGTGTATCATCATTTTATAATTTGATTAGGCAACTCACATTTATCAGTAGTGTTAAAGACCAGGCAGGGAACTAGGTTGTGAAATGAGTAAAATCCATGATGCGCTAAACAGAAGCATGTGGGTAAAAGAGGGATTCGTTGTTCCGGGGCTTTAGGGTGAGGCTTCATAGATGTGACATTAGAGGAAGGACATGCCAAGAAGAGCGAGTCGTCAGCAAGGCTACAACTGGAACCCGGGCGGGGGGAGGTAGGGGGCGAGATCATGAGAAGGAAGCCGGATCTGGAGGACTAAGGGCTGTTTGGGCTTTTGCAGCAGAGAGCGGACGCATCTCATCCAGTCCGCCGCACTGCTGAGTGAAGCAAGCCCGGCAGAGAAGCTCTTGCAAAGCTTGGAGCGAGAAGTGTCTGGGCTAGCTAGGGCTGTAGCAGTGCGTTGGAAAGGAGGGGCCTCCCTGCAAACGCGGGCACGAGCACCACGAAAGCGCTGACTTGTTTTCCCCAGAGTTGAGCAGCACTCCTGTCTTTCTTCCCACCATCATCACCGATTGTCACACCTCCCCGTCCAACCCTCTGGGGACCCAGAGAGTCATTGGAGCTCGAAATCAGCTCCTTGCAGTGCGGACCATCCTTAGCCTGCACCACGGGGTCAGCTAAGGGCGCCGCAGAACCCCATCCTCCCGCCACTAACGAAGCCAGGACAGCCGCGCGGGCCGCGTCCCGGCGGCACCGGGAGAAGTACGCAGGCGCGCTCAGCACAGCCGAAGCCGCTTCCGGGTCACGTGGCCATACTTCCGGCCCCCGCCACGCCTCCCTGTGACAATTTGACCAATCAGCTTTCTCGCTGTCGCCGGCAACTGTACTGATACTAGAGGCGGTTGGCGGCCCCTCGGCAGCTTGGCGCGCGTCCTCTGGCCCGCCTCTCTGCTCGCCGCAGCCGAGGCTCCTCCTTCGTCCAGCCTCCGGGGCGGGGTCTGTTGGCTTGCCCTACCCTCGCCGCCTAAGCCTGCCCTCCGCCAGACGGGTCCCCTCCCCGCGGCACCACGGCTTCCCTTCAACAGCACGGCGACGGGGGCTTCCCCTCAGCAGCCGCCGCCGCCTCAGTCTCCGCAGCCGGCCAAGCTCCGCCGCGTCCGCGGCCCCCGGCCGCCGTAAGTGTCGAGGGGATCCGCTGAGGTGGCAGGGATGGGAAGAGGGCGAGATGGCCGGGCGCGCCCCCCGCCGCCCCGTGAGCGCCCCGACGACCCCACCCCGAGTCCTCCCGGGGCGTCGCGCCCCGAAACTCACTTCTGGCGGCGGTGGCGCCCCGCTCTTTACTCTGCGGCGCGCCAGTGATGCTGGGGCCGGTCCTGGGTTCCGCGGGGACCCCGAGGCACCTGTGGTTCGCCGATCGCCTCAAGTTTGGCGGGGCGTTTTGGGGAGGGGCCGGGGGTGGCAGCAACCGAGGACTTGGCGCCCCTGGCGGGCCAGAGGATGCCATTGTCTCTGGTCCGCTCCTTGCCGGTCACCTCTCCTGGCTTTGGGCAGTGATGGAGTGTCGTCCCGGGAGGAGGGGAGGCGTCCAAGACTGCGGGACCCCTGGGATGCTGGACCGGAGCCCATTCCAAGGCTGAGCCCATTGTTGTTTTTTGTTTTGTTTTTGTTTTAATACCAATCTGGAGAAATTTTTGTTCCGGGATTTGCGGCAAAATCAAAGCGAGGGAAAAGGAATACTTGTGCCACGGCTTTCGTCCCATGTTAGTACATCATTTGTTTTAAGGGAAATGCGTGGTTTCTTCGTCCTACAAAGTGGTAGGGCGGATACTGGACCCTGCTACAGATAGCCTAGAGCGCACTCCTGTCGTTAGCAAACCCTCTCTCCTGGTCACCAAGATTTAAGAAAACCCAGTCGTTTCCTTCCGCAAGTTCTAGTAACGGTTTGCGTTCAATGTCCAGTAGATGCTCTACTTGTCATCCTCTTCGAATGCCGCTGTCTTCGGAACTTAGATGGGCGGCACTTTGCTATCAAAGAATTATATAGCGTGTTGTGTGGGGGTAATAGCCAATTTTAACTTTATTAAAGTTAAATGGCTACGCCATAAATTTCCGGATGTTTTCTTGATGCCTTTGGGATATTGCGAAGTGAATTTCCTGTCGAAATTTAGAGCCAGTTTGATTTTCTATTAGTTACGTAAATTCCTCTTCCCGGTGTCCAAATTTAAGGTGGTGTGGTGAATATTAAGAATCTGCCTTGGGGTCTTACTTGCACTGTCGCTGTTAAAGGAACTTAAAGGGGTTAAAAAAGAACACCTATCCGAATTTTACCTTCAAATTAGCTTTACAATACAGCTCGTTTTTACCAGTTGAATTATAAAATACCTGCCTTAGAAAACGAAGCCTGACCAACAGACATGCAAATGCTAAGTAAATCCATACAAATTAGCTTCAGTATAAAACACACTAGAATCCAGCATACATTCAAATGTATTTTTTGTTTTAAAATAAGTATTCTGTGAAGTGTCTCAAAATTTTGTTTTTATAAAATAAGTATTCTGTGAAATGCCTCAAAATTTTGTTTTTTTAATTAAATATTCTGTGCAGTGTCTCAATATGAGTAACTTTTGGTTAAGCTTTTCAGACTTGCATTCTCTCTCATGTAATATTACATTAACTCAGTTCTTGAGTGTTGGATTTTATAAAAGTGAAATTTTTATAAAAAAATTATAAAGAATTTTTATAAAAGTGAAACGCAAACATAAAAATCATGCTTTTGTTAAGAAACGTGTTGTTTGTGAGATCTTTTTGATTAATATTCTGTTTTGCTTAAAATATGCTTGCATAAATTGAGGGGAGTGCTTTAAGTGGTAAGCAGTCTGTCTGCAAGAAATTCAGCCTGGAACTAGAATGGCCTCAGGGTGAAAAATAGTAGGTCTCCTCTTTCCTAGAAATGTACCTAAATCAACTGCCTGATGTCTACAGTTGCCTTTTGAGGCATGTAGGGTGGGGAATGTGTAGCACAGGTAGAAAATTGTTTCTTAAATTATCAGAGTTCTTGTTCTTTGAAAATTTCACTCCAGCTTACCACCTGTTCTTCTTGCCACACACTCTCTTCCACACTTACCTACATATTGAAGACCTTTCCAAAAGAATTTCCTGCTATTATAACCTGTACAGAAATGTTGATGGCTTACTAATCATTTGGCAGGCTTTTTACTGTATCCCCAAAGCAGCTCTGAAAACCATGTGATCTTAACTGTTGATCCTAGGTAATTGTATGTAATCTTGATTTTATTTCTCTTAACAGATGCAGTTTATGTTGCTTTTTAGTCGTCAGGGAAAGCTGCGGCTGCAGAAATGGTATGTCCCACTCTCAGACAAAGAGAAAAAGAAAATCACAAGAGAACTTGTTCAAACCGTTTTAGCCCGGAAACCTAAGATGTGCAGCTTCCTTGAGTGGAGAGATCTGAAGATTGTTTATAAAAGGTATCATTTTTTTATTTATCAGAAAGGTGAAATATGGTCAAACATTAACATTATTTCGGATGAGGAAATTGCAGACTTTTATGTCGATAAACAAGGATTAAAAAATATTTAAATGAAATAAGTTTAAAGGAAAACTTTCCATTTAAAAGTAACGGCTGTTTTGATTGCTTGCCTTAGGCTGAAATGCTAGCAGCAGGGGAATCATTTTAAAATTTATTATATAATTAAAGACAAACAATTATTCGTGCTTGGTCATCATTTTAGAAAAAAATCAATGAATTAATTTCATTATAGGTGTTAATAGGGTCAGTATTTTAAAATTTTAAGTAATTCGATAAATCAGGCATGCATAGATAATAATAGTGTGATAATCCTTTCAACAAATCTATAAAGATTTATTTATCAAGTAACTGATATTTGGCATTCCTTTTATCTGACTTTTATAATTAATCTTTTTATAAAGATCCTGGGCACATACACCATTTCACTATGCAGATGTTTAAATACTTGTGTACATACAGGATCTCTTTGCTATTAGTATTTATTAATTTGAAATAGACTTGTTGCTGTGGAGGAGTTGTGCTTAGATATGATAATTTTACCAAGGATAAATGTTTTTTTAAAAAAATGATGTTGCAAAATAACTTGTAGGTTAGCTCTTTACACAGTTTTTTTTCCTTTAATGCTATACATCTTTATTTTACAGAATGTTTTTTGAGGGAATGTTTCTTATTTCTTCCCCATTTCTGGCCCCTTTTGAATAATTTACTGAATTTAAGATAAAAGCATTTCTGCATATAAAACACTCTCTTGTAAGGGGAGTGTGCAGAGAACTAACAGTATGGAATGCAATGAAGCGGGAGAGAAATCATGTTTTCTTCTATTTTCTATCACTACATTCCAAGTATGGATGGGTTTTGTGGTGGAGGAGGTGGCAGGGGAAGAAATGACATTTATAGGACATAAAGACTCTTAAATACATTAGACTTACCATTATTTCATAGTGAATTTCATCAGTTTGGGTGGTTTTTTTTATTCAGTGTTTGGCTTGGTACTTGTTGAGAAAGATCATAAAAAAACATAGCATTTGAGAGCTGAGTGATGCCTTAGAACAATACACACACACACACTCACATACACACACACACACACACACACACACACACACACACACACACACACAGACACACACACTATAGAGTGTGTGTATGTATCTTTTTGCCCAGGGATAGAATCTTATGATTGCTTTTGTGGAATCAGAAATAAGAAGCCTGTACCCTGGCTCAATTGGCCTCTGCTTTCTGCACTAGAGACAGCTCTTTGATTTGAAAAACACAGTTACTGTTCATTCAGATTTCAATTTATAAAAGATGAGAATTTTCTAATGGTGACTTGGCTCAAGGTCACATACTAGTGATGGGCATGGGGCTACAACTTAAGTCTTAAGTGTGAAGGCAATGGCTTTAAACAGGTGTGGAAAGAAAGAAAGATTAGATTTGCATTTCTGAAAAGACTGCAGTGAACCATGGCTGGGGGAGTGAAAGGGGCTGAGACTGGCACCTGCAGGATCAGTGGGGGACTGCATGACAATTGGATCCTGAGCTGAGAAGCTGGAAAGGAAACCGGTTACCTAGGGAAGTTTGAGAAGACTTAGTCACCCTGAGAAGCAGAGAGAGCAGCCAAGGAAAGAGGAAGTGGAGTCACCTCCATTTCCAGAGTTTGCTTTGGGATGAAAGGTAAGCTAGAGAATTCAGTTAATTTGGGGGCAAGTTGATATGGCCGTATGTGTTCACTTGGCTCTTTGATGAGTGAGATATGGTGGGCATAGGCATAGAACTTGAGGGTGAAACCCAGACTGAAAGTATTAAATCACCAGCATTCTGGTGCAGGTGGAAGGGCTAAAGAGGGGGCCTGCAGATCAAAATGAGAAAGAAGCAAAGGAGTGGTTTTAGGTCAGTAAAGTCAAGGAGCAGAGAAATGTGAGCGTAAGAACACTAATGCCAGCTGTTACATGAAGTTCAGTAAAAGTGAAGAACTCATAGAATCTTATCGTGAGCATTCCATGCATTGCCTGTTGTCAGGACATTGTCAGTGGAGTAGAGACAGAATTTTTGATATAATGAGGTGAAGGTGGAGAGGTAGAGAAATTGAAACAGCATCTAGAGAGTATTTGGGAGAGCTTTGCCAAGGACAGAAGAGGTGGTAACTGCCCATAGACCTGGATTCTGGAATCCTGGACAGGGTTTATAAAAGGCTTGAGAAGTTTAAGCTTATTTCTAGATAGTGAAAGGAGTCCCCCGTGTGGAGGAGGAAAATCCTAGCAAGAGAACAAACCCATGAATGGGCCATTCAGAGGGAAAAAAGGAAACAGCAGGTTGGTGTTCATACACTTGCCACTCAGCCTGTTCCTGTTGATCTTGCTACCTTTTTCAGAAATTATAAAAGAAAACTCTAACCTGATCTGATATTTAGATCAAAATTTTTTTCAAGTAAAATTTGGACTTAACAAAAATAAAAATAGCTTTATTGAGATGTTTCATATACAAAAGACAAAATGTATAATGTTTTTCTATAGGCTCCCTCCCATTTCATACTGAAAACCTCATCTACTTCCCACTTAACCATGTATTTTGTTATTATCAGGTGATGTGTTTTCCCTGCTCCAGCTGGAAGAGAAGACCTTTTAAGCCACAGAATTTCTACTGAGCTCTTAATAAATTCTGCTCTAGCACTTTCACTGCTCCTCTTAGCATGTGTTTTTATGTCGTCTTTGTTCATTTGTCCTGCCCACATTCTTCACCCCTGAGCATTTGGCATACATATTTTCCCTTTGTGGGGGGAAGCAGTGGGGCTATAAGGGTAATATAGTTGAAAATCTGGGCCATTACCTAGTTTTATGACTTTGAGTATTTGTATTTATTTATTTTTGCCTTTGTTTCCTCATCTTTAAAGTGCGTGCTCCTGAATATCCACTAGAGACAACATTATATGCCTAGTTTGTGCAACATTTCATAGTGGAGGCAATTGAATTAGGTCTTTAAAATTAATTTTAAAATGCATCCCCATGTTACTAGCTTGAGAATTTGTTGAAGGGTACTTATTGATTTTCTTTACTAACAAAAGAAATTTTAATGACATGCCAGTGGGTATTGAGAATAGTTTAGCTACATTCACGCATAGTCAGCTGATATTTAGCTGACTGCAGAGAAGTCATGTGTTTTGAATATAAGAATAGGCACTTTCAGATGTTCTGAGTGCCAGTAATTAGAGTAAGCCCTAATCCATGGTGCTAAAAATAACTAAACATACCTCTCTTCTTACTAGTCTATTATTAATTTTACTAAGAGAACAACATGAGCTCATATTGAATTTTAAAGCACCATTTGATCCTAAAAATAGAGAGTACTCTAGGTTCTCTTGGTAATCTTTTACTAAATCTATATGGCATTTTTTTTTATCTCTTTCCCTTCTTCAAAGCTCTTAATATATTTGCATTGAGCATATTTTAATTTTAGCCAGGTGCAGGATTATTTTAATACACTTCACAGCTGTGGTTTTTAATAGGAAATTTGGGCTCCAGGGTCAAATTTCTGTTCTCATCCAGTTACTCAAGCCTGAGTCTCCTGTAAATGCAAGTAATGATATCTTGGTAGGGCTGTTGTGAGATTAAGATGGTAAAATATGCAAAAGCCTTTACTGCCACTTAGTGCCTCACTCAGAAGAGTCTCTCAGTTGTACCTGCTATTGTACTTCTGTTCTTTCCTTCCTTCCCCAGCTTTCTGAAGAGCTGTTCTTATCACGCTAATAGCTGTCTATTCACCTGGAAGGAATAGTTCTTTTAAGTTGATGCCTTTTCCCGTTCTTAATGAAGTAAAACATTGAGAGGATTGAAGTTACCACTGACTGGTATAGGAGATTCTGGATTTGATCTCTAGAATGACAAAAAAAAAAAAAAAAAAAGCTAAAACACTATTGGAGGAGTTCATTTTTTTTTCTTTTTAAACTATTTTTGGTTGGTACCTAGTCCTGCTCATTTTTAAATTCATGATTGGTATAATTTAGGACCTTCAATTATTTAATTATTGTTTAAATATCATTTATTTGTATACAAAGAGGCAGTATTATGGATAAAGAAGCAAGGAGATACATACTAGAATGCCTAAGAGTAGCAATGGGAGAAGTTTGAAAATAAAGAATTTTACTCCAAACTTACTATTAATAATCTCTTCAATAGAATTATTTGTTATTCTGTTCATAGAAATAACTTGTATCTGTTTTTTGGTTTGTCATTTTTATATCAGTTCCTTTAATCTTTAGTTTTTATAATTCAAAGAATCTCCTATACCAGTGTTTCTCCACCTGTGAGTCACAACCCCTTGGGCAACCCTCTTTCTCCAAAAATATTTACATTACAATTCATAACAGCAGCAAAATTACAGTTATGAAGTAGCAACGAAAATAATTTTATGGTTGGAGATCACCACAACATGAGGTATGGTATTAAAAGGTTGCAGCATTAGGAAGATTGAGAATCGCTGTCCTATATCACTTGTACCAGACTCTCCAGATGCTGTTGAAGAGCATGGATTAGGGAGGGTGGAGAGTTGTAACAGTCTTGCTTTTTAAATATAAACAAAACAAGGTTATGATGGGAACAAGAGGAAGTTCTTTGCTCAGGTTAGAGATGGTGCCCTATTTTGCCTTTCCTGTTTCTTTTACTGAGGATGAGGGAACACATTGAAATGTCTACTCTGAGAGACCAAAGGCTTGCAGATTTGAGACTTCTGTATATACATTATCCTTCAATAACATGTTCTAAAACATTGACACTATCCTTAGTAAGCCCGTCAATTGGGATATATTAACAGCTTGTTTTCTCCCGTTTGCTTGTAGTTGGAACCAATCACACTGTATATTTTGTTCTAATAAGTAAACTTAAGAAAAACTGACTCAATTATATTTTCAAATGCTCAGAGAGCAACCTGAAAAGAAGAGCAAGATCAAGTACTCCTTCTAAGAGACATGATTGAGTTATTTCTCTTTTTGTCTGTGTTTTCCAAAATTTCTCTTGTACATTTATTACTTTTGTAATCTAGGAAAAAAAAGAATTTGTTTTAAAAGAAGAATAACTGTAATAAGCATGAGGACTTGTAAAATAGGACATGGAAAACATATTTAGAAAACATGATTATAGGGGTAACATTTTTCTGTGATTCTGTTTCATTACAGATATGCCAGTCTGTACTTTTGCTGTGCTATTGAGGATCAGGACAATGAACTGATTACCCTGGAAATAATCCATCGTTACGTGGAATTACTTGACAAGTATTTTGGCAGCGTGAGTAGTAAATTTAGTTTTTATCTTGTCTCTAACAAGCTTATTATTTGTGGATTCTAACTGTGAGGAGAGGACAGGACTGACCATTTATTTATTTGTTTGTTTGTTAGTTTTGATGTTTGTTTATTTGGTTTTTCAAAACAGGGTTTCACTGTGTAGTCTTGGCTGTCCTGGAACTTACTGTATAGACCAGGCTGACCTTGAACTCACAGGGATGCACCTGCCTCTGCCTCCTGAGTGCTGAGATTAAGGGTATGTACCACCACTGCCCTGCACTGACTCTTATTTCTTGTCAGTGCATCTAGTCAACTTTCAGAATCTCTGGCTCCACAGATCTACTCATTTAATGAAAATGGTGAGAATAAGTTTTCAAATAGCAAAATAGAAGGGCTGGATAGTTCGCTCACTTGGTGAAGTGCTTACCACCCAAGCATGAGAACCGGAAGTAAATCTCTGTGTGCACTTAAAAGGCCAGTGCTGAGCCGGGCGGTGGTGGCGCACGCCTTTAATCCCAGCACTCGGGAGGCAGAGCCAGGCGGATCTCTGTGAGTTTGAGGCCAGCCTGGGCTACCAAATGAGTCCCAGGAAAGGCGCAAAGCTACACAGAGAAACCCTGTCTCGAAAAACCAAAAAAAAAAAAAAAAAAAAAAAAAAAAAAAGGCCAGTGCTGGCTCCTGCTGCTTTTTTAATTTTGTGTGTATGGGTGTTTTGCCAACCTGCACGTCTGTGGCATCACTTGTGCACTTGGTGTCCACAGAGGCCAAAAGGTGTCAAATCCTCTGGAAGGAGAGATACGGGTGCCTGTGAAGTATAATGTAGTTGTTAGGAATTGGACCTTGGTCCTCTCGAAGAGTAGACAGTGCTTTTAATTGCCAAACCATCTCTCCAGCCCCTAGCTTTCACTTTTAATTCCAAGGAGGGTGGAGACGGATCTCTGGAGCTCACAGACCAGCCAGCCTAGCCTAGTCTATGAGTCCTAGGTCCCAGTGAGAGACCCTGTCTCTAAAAACCAGGTAGATGGCTCCTGAGGAACAACACCCACTTGCACCAAACACACACACACACACACACACACACACACACACACACACACACACACACACGAAATAGAAGAGTCCTATTGCTGATACTAGCATTCTGTAAGTGTCAAGTACAGCTTTTAGAATTGTTGCAGTTTAATCACTTTACTCAAGAAATATGTATTTAAAGATCAGTTTTTATGAGTGGAAAATTAGTGTTGACTACATAGGGAGTGTGCAGAGCCAGGTCTTACTTGTAGGCATTGTGTTGTCAAGTACTTGAAATCTGAAAATTAAGCTTACTTAAATCAATGTTGCTTAATCAGCAAGATTTCTATTTTGAAAAGAATTAAGATCAATTCAATCTGATCAGATTTATTCACTACCTAGTAGTGAATAAGCATCTTTGGCTTAAATTTTAACAGGCTTTGTTTGGTTTCATTTTGCTTTTGCTTTCCAGGTGTGTGAACTTGATATCATCTTTAATTTTGAGAAGGCCTATTTTATTTTGGATGAATTTCTTTTGGGAGGAGAAGTTCAGGAAACGTCCAAGAAAAATGTCCTTAAAGCAATTGAACAGGCTGATCTCCTGCAGGAGGTAAGCTACTTAGGCTTCCGAAAAGAAACTAGCATGTTTTGCTTTTGCTAGGGAAATCTCAGTCATCATTCCTACAAGTTTCAGAAATTACTTCAAAGCATGCTTGGTATGTAGTGTTCATGTACAGTTTGACTGGAATATGTGTCAGTCACATCAACTCAGTTATCTATGGATGGATGGTTCTTTGTGGAGATAGCCTGCCAGTCAGGCTGATTTAGAGGACAGACTACTTCAATTAAAATAAGTAAATGAATAAATATATATTAAAGGGGGGAACAATTGGCCGAAAATAATTATCATTTGAGAACTTCTCATCCTTTATTTTGAATTACTTAAAATCCCCCCCCCACCTGTTTCATTAGAGTGGATAATTAAGAGTTGACTGTGAGATTATGGCATTTCCTTTCCAAATTGCTTCATGTTTTCACCTCATGTCCATTAAGTACAAATGTAGCCAAGCAAATGTTAGTGTTTTCTAATTATGCTTTTTCTAGAACCTTCTGGCTTTGTGTTAACAAAATTAACTTAAAATGAATTTGTACTTCTCTTTGTTCTTTTGAAATAACCAACCATGTTCTATCTAAACTATTCAATTCTTGTCTTAACTTCCATATCCCGGAACCATACCAACCCCTTTCCCTCCTAATTGCCTTCAACATCCTGAGCTAATCGTGTGTTTGATGCTTAGGTACCAAATTCAGTTATGGCTTAGAACTAATTGTGGTTGTTACAGTATACAAAGTTTACCATGAAAATGGCTTAGTAAAGAAAAATGGGGTATTTTTATTAAGATAACTGTATGTATGTATTTGTGTGTGTGTATATATATATATATATGACACAAATGAATATTTGTGTCCCATGGATTCATTTACTAAAATGTTAAAAGTAGATTTTTTTATTTTATTTTAACCCTTTCGTTATTACATATTTATTATGTTTTAATTAGTAAAATAGACTTTTGAACTCAGTGTTTTTAGTATTTCTGAAATGGCTAGCTTTAGAGGAATAAGGGGAGAATAACTCGAATTCTCTGTTTAAATTTCTTTACTTTTGGCCTCTGTGGTGGAGGGAACTCCTAGTGAATCCTCTGTATCAGTCAGCTGTAGGGCCTGCTTCAAGTTGTGTTGATATCATCCGGAGTCTACAACTATTAAATGGGAGACAATGAACTGTGTGTTTAATGATGTTGTAGTTATCAGAAAAATGGTTGGTGAGTGCAAAACTGAAGTATTTCAGTGACAGCCCTCATGCCATCTGCTGTTTGGTAGTCAAATGAGCACAGACCTTTTCCTTGTGTGCACAGTTTGCCATGGTGCTTTATTAATTGACTGCAAACATGTCATTTTGGAGGTTTGTAATTTTAACATCAGGTATGCTGACTCCAAAAGTATATCCTACTGTTATAATATTGGTTTTAAAGTTAACATCTCCTTTTTGTTATTTACTAATCAAACTTAAGAGAAACAACAACAACAATTAAAAAAGCGATTAGGTCAAGCTGGGGATATAGCTCAGTTGGAAGAGTGTTTCCCTCACTTGCATGAAGCCCTAAGTTCAGATCTCAGCTCAGCATAAAACTTACCAGTTTTTCTCTGCTCCTTAATTTTATAGAGCCAGAATGAAGAATGGGGAGGTTTGTCTGAGTATATCTTATGATGAAGAGCAGTCTAAGTAAAGTAGTATATGCCTATTTCCTTAGCACTTGGGAAGTGGAAACAGAAGAATCAGTTCAAGGTCTGGGCTACAAAGTTAAGTTTCAAAGGAAGCCTGGGCAACCTGAGGCCCTGCCAAAAACAAAAAATAAAACTAACCAAAAGATAGGCCCCAAGATTAGGAGTTGGAAATTCCTCATATTTGTGTGTTGTCTTAATAATGTTTCTTACAGAACTATAATCTCTTGTATCAGAACTTGGTATTTCTTCTGTTTTTCACCACTTTCTGGTTAATTTTGTTGTTTTTAAGACATTTTAAAAGATATTAAAGCTCAGTTTTTCCTTTTAATGTGTTCCTAGGGCACTGATATCTTCTTGTTCTTGAGTTGCTTTTTAAATGATGCTAAAAAATTGCTCTATGCTTTATAATCAGACAACAATGTCATGTTTACTTGATAGTGTGTATTTACTCTATGAAGGGATACAAAGCATTATTATAGCAGTATGTGCGATAGAATACTACTAAGAAATAGAAACTTCTTAGGCCTGAGTATGTTCACTATTGTCATTATCAGTAGTTAGATTTAGAGACAGTGTTTTCTCCAAAGTCTCCTTGTTAAGATTTAGCAAAATGCCTAGGTCTCTAATAGCATTGTAGGTCTTAGAGTTTGAAATATAGTAATCACTTTGTCAGTGTCCTCAAGTGATTTTGTTTCTAAAATTGTTTAAGGATAGCTATTTTAGCTAAATGTATCCTAAAATTTTCAGTAAAGGAACTAAAAATCCAATTGAAATGTAATTTTTCATGTATTATAACTTTTATATTTGATGTCAAAATCTTTATTTGGACTGTTTTAAGCACTAAAGATAATTTTGAATTAACAATGAACTTTATCTGTTGGCTGAATAGTATATACAAATTAGAATAATTTTGATTTTAGATCTTTTTATAATTTGCAAAATATGTATTTCTATTCTTAAATATAAATAATAATATAATAATAATATAAATTTCTATTCTTATTTCTATTCAGAAAATTTGTTAAAATTTTGCTTTTGCCCAATTTATTTAAATATGTAATGTAGGTAGTCTTTCATTTTATGGGCAAGCAGAGCAGATGTCAGTGGTTAAAGTAGATTTTCTGCTGTTATGCTACAATTAGTGATAAGAACAAAACAAATGTATATCTGAATAATAACTGCCAAAATATTAGTAAACATTGTGATTTAATGCTATATTTTTCATATTTGACATTTGTAGACAAATTCTGTGTTTATACCTTTTGGTTGCATGAATTCATAATTAGCTTTGGGTGAGTAAGCCCAGAAATTGACCCATTATCCAATTTTCGATATTTGACTATTAGAATTTAAAACATGTCATCTCAACATGCCACTGGTACTAAAGTTGATTTTTAAATTAAGATATGACATGCTAAGATGAATGAAATTATATTCTTTATAATGCTTAGCACATTTCCCTCCCCACATACCTAGTTTTTGGGTGGCAAGGTGAGGTATCATGTAGTTGAATTTATTTTATAAACACATATATTGATAATGACAAAGGAAATAATAGTATGGTTTTTTTCCCCTGTGAAGTCAGGCACTTACCAGTTTCTCTCTGCTCCTTAATTTTATAGAGCCAGAATGAAGAATGGGGAGGTTTGTCTGAGGATATCTTATGATAAAGAGCAGTCTAAGACTTTAGTTCCTTTGACCCCCAACTTATTTATTGGTAACTACTAAATTTACCATTTTTGTGGCATGGATAAAATGGCACTATGCAGAGACTGTTGCACGTGAGATGATTTCAAGTCTTTGCTTGATCTGTGAAGACCAAATAGTTAAATGTTAGGCACTGGGCTTGTTATAACCCTAGAGGTAGATGCATGATGGTGTTGATCAGCGCTTTGAGATGTGTCGACCTTTCTTTTTTATACTAACAGCATCATTTTGAAATCTCTGGGGATTTTTTCTTTTGAGCTTTGTTTGCTGTTGGTATTGTTTCTCACTAAAGTAATCAATGAAATGGAAAAGTGAGGTGCCAAAAGCAAACACTGTACTCATGAATTTGCTTCTACTTGAAGGTGATCCACTTTATGAATAGATTGACTGGATTTGCAGATGTTTGTCTGTCTCGTCTAGAAAGCAGTAGTCTATGAAGAATTACTGCTGCTAAAATTGATTTGTTTTAGTGCTGAGGCCTGCATGAAATATCTTAATAGTATGCTATGTCTTTCTGAAAGTAATCATTAATCTGTGGGACTGCATAAAAATGGAAAGGTAAGAATCTTGAGAGAAAAGTGATTTCTTTAAAGAAATGAAGTTTTTTATAATAATATTAAGCAAATAATTATTTTGTGAAGTATCTTATAACATTAGGAAGATTTAAGTTTTTCAAAGAATTAAACCTTGCTAATTAATATTTAGGCATGTAGTGAGACTCAAGAATATCTAAAATTGTTTTAAAAGCATAGATCTTTTCAAATATATACAATGTCATTTAACAGCACAACACGTTGTTATAAGTATTTTTCTGATTTGCTTTAAGAAGCAAAAAACCCCTGTAATTCTTTTGTAATTACCATTCTTTCATGTTATATAACTTTTAGGCTTAAACTGTTTCTTTAATTACGTTAAAAGTTAAGGCTATAGTTCTTAATGCAAGAGTGTTTTAAATGCAGTTTCAGGGTTTCTAGAACAGATTCTGGAGAAATGAGGTTTTATTGCTGCTTAAAATAGACAGTCCAGTCTAGAAGTGGACAGATACACAAGGCATAATCAGTCTCCTTTAGCTTTACTTTTAGTGCCATCCAGTATGACTAGTGGCATTGGTGTCTGCTTTCTGGGTTGGAATCATTTTGTTCTATGGAGTTTTAGTGTTTTCCTTTGTTCTTTGGAATTTTGAACCTCCCCCCCCCACACACACACCTTTTGTTTCTTTTCTAACTCATGGTGAAGCAGCTCTTGGTTTCTGCTTGTTTTTGCAGTGCCTGGGGCTAGAAGTCAGGGTAGTGCCCATGCTAGGCAAGCCCTCTATCACTGTAAACCTGTATCCCTGGCTCCACTTGGCTTTCTCTAATCATTAAAAGCTGGAATAATTTAAATAGCCAATTATTGTAAATTTGATCTTGGAATGATTTTTTTCACTAAAACCCATAGTAGTAAATGCAGTTTTATATCACAGTGCATATAAAGTATAAAAATTATTGAATAATAGTCTCATTTCTTGCTTTGTTCCTCAAATTTTATATTCTATTCTATTTTTCTTTTTTTAAATGCCATTCTTAATACTTGATTTCATGACCCTAGGGTTAGGACCTACTAAAAGCATATTCCAAGTGGTCAATGGTAATTTTTTTCATTAAACAGTACTTGATGAAAATTTTAGGTTTGAGTTATTCCCCTGCTGACATTATAATTTGTTTTGTTCCTCTATGCTTAAAAAATTAATTCTCATAGTAGAAAAATTAATAAATACAGGCCAACACACTAGAATATAGTCTTACCCACCAAGCAGAGCCAATTAGATTAACTCTTTGATTCTCCTGGGAATGATGTAGGGCAGTCAGTGCACTTCCAGGGTACATTGGGCTATGCATGCCCAGACAAATTCCTGGTTGTGCATTATGACTGGCATCTACTAGGTAGAGACCAAGGACACTGCTAAATATCTTATTTATTCTGCCCAGGACACACCCACCAAAGAATTACCCAGCCCCCAAAGTCAGTTGTTTTCAAGTTGAGAAACCCTGACTTAATTTAACACCTTGAACTAAAAATTTCATTTTCATTTATAAATAGTTACATCTTTTCAATAGTATATGTAGTATTCAGTATACATAATGGCTGAAACTTAGTCAGAAATGCAAAGGAGTAGAAAAAAACTTTAAAATTGTGAAGAAAATCATATGTTAACACATAAATGGCTCTAGAAAAAACACCCCTGTGATTGATACAAACGAATTACCTTTGCCTGGTAACTAGCAACTGGGGAGATAATCTATGGGTGCCTTTAGAACCTAAGCCACAGAAAAGCTTATGGGATGTCACTGAATAATCGGATTTCCTCAACAACAACTAGCTCTGTTCATTTCTATTAAGGTAATTGAGTTTTTCTGGGGAAACAAGATTGAATCTACCCTGCAGGCAGGCAGAACACTATTGAATTTTCTGCCGATTTCCTCAGCCACTTTAGGATGTGATCATTTCTTAAAGGAAGAATAAAGTGACTAGATTTACATAAACAGACTTCCTTTTCTTATAGATACTTTTTGTTCTTCCTTACACTGTTAGTCTTGAAGAGTTTGTTTGAAGTTCTGACTCTAAGAAACCATTTTCTAGAAAACTGGTTAAATTTAGGGTATTCGAAGGCAATACAGCTACACTAGAATAGGTCTAAGCTAACTTTCTGTTGTTCTATTTAAAAAGTATAATTAGATGCCAGAGAAAGTAATTTGTCCTTAGGATCTTAGAGTTAACAAGTTTGGGAGCAGCATTTATAAGATATAATAAAAAAGTTACTCCACTTATTTCGAAGGCAAAAACAATAGACATAGATGAGTAGCCCAGTAGGAAAGAGCAGAGGACATGACTAAGTTGGGGATGAAAAAACCAAAAACAGTCTTTACTAAGGGAATACAAATTAAAATACCAACTAACCCTTTTGAAATTTTTTCTTCTTGAAGCAATAAGAGATATTATTGTTACTGCTTGTAAACACTTAAACTTGTATTTCATTTTGAAGGAATGGTTTTGTGGTATCTATTTCATGATGAAACCTGTACTATACTTTCTGTCCCATTAGTTGCACATCTAAGAATTTTATCCAACTGAAAAATGTATATATACATATGTATGTATGTATGTATATGCACCAAGACATATAGGCTCAGCATAATATTTAGCCACTGGAATTTACCCAAATGTCCATTAGTGGGAAACAAGTGAAGAAAATTACAACACAGTCAGACCTACAATTGCTAACATAACTGTAAAAATAAATAAGACTAAATTTCTGTGTAATGATATGGAAAGATACTAAAGATATATGAAATGATAAATGATCAAGGATATTGACTATTTATTATAAAGTTCTTCACTCCATTTTTCAGAAGAGGAAAATGGGCATGTAGTTAATATTATACATTTTTTTGGTGGAAGAATGCTGCTGTTTGAGAATTCACATTGTGTTTCCACACACAGATGGTAAAAACCTGAGTAGAATTTGCTAAAATAAAGGGTCAGCACTGGGTAAAGCACTTTCAGCTTTTGTCCATGTGATATACTAACCATCTGGAGTAGCCATAAAGCTCTTGCTACTCATTACTAACTTAATGTTAAAGAAAATCAATAGAAGGCTGGAGAGATGGCTCAGTGCTTAAGAGCACTTGCTGTTGTTCATCCAGAGGCCCTGGGTTCAGTCCCCAATACACACACATCAGGTGGCTCACAACTGTCTGTCATTCCAGCTCCAGGGGAATCTGAGATCTCTGGCCTCTGCGGGCACTTGCACTCATGTACATACCCATATGCAGAGACACATGCCTACATATAATTAAAATAATAATAATAATAATTAGAAATGCATTTCCAAAGAAAAAGAAAATCAGTAGATGTTCTTATTAATTTACAAATTTTATAAAATAGGACTATACCATGAGCCCTGTCATCTAAAAGGTGCTTCATGAACTGTTTTCAATCCTTCTATTTTTAAAATTCATTACCCAAAATAGATCTTAGTGAGTTTGCCATATTGTGTGACCCTTTGGAGCTTAAACTCAAAGAATAGACTTTCAATGTTGAGCATAAGAAGTTTGCATGCTTTCCCACAGAATTCAGTTAGGGTCAATAAAAAGGACCATTGTGTTATAAAACATGAGACAAAATATACAATTTTGTAACACAGAGAGTATGGTGTTTAAAATTTTCAGTAAGGTGATAAACTTGAAATCATACTTCCTTATATTTGCTTTTCATTAAATATAAATTATTTTCTCTTTTACTACATTGAAGTAGAATCAGGAGAGCAGCTAACACCATTAGCTTACTAAAGCATAGTTCAACAGTAGTTAAGCCACTGCAATTGCTAGTTTAGGAGTGTATAAGCTTTCCAGTTAGTTTTACATGCGAGCCATGTCAGAAGCTTAGCATGGTGAATGAATATCTAGGAAATTTCATGGTAGGAAGGTTTGTCTTTTCTTAAGAAGACGGTGGTTTTGAAAACAGATCTAAATTGATTCTTGTCTGCTCTGTTTGACATCTTAAACTTGCCACACTACATCTAGTCCTTTTTGTAGCCTGAGAATGAAATTATTCTTAGTGCAGAGGAAAGTTGAAAAAGCACGTGTACTAGGAAGGAGTGTATTGAAAGGGGGTAGGGACAGACAAGAAATGTCTCCTTTACTCATGGAGTAAAGCTGGGGAATCTTTTTTCCTCATGAGCTAGATGAGCAAACTTGAGAAAGTTCTTATTTTCTTGGACTTGAAAATCTAGAGGAGAACCATTGGGGACTGGGGAGAAGAGGAGCTAACAAGCAAAGTATGGGGCGTGGCAACAGATTCAATAAAGAAAAATTAGTGCTGAACAAAGGGATTACTCAAAAGTGAAAGCCCATTTCAAGTTGAAAATAATGCATTTGTAATTGTTATTCAGAAAAATAGATCTTGACAAAGAATCTGCACTTAGGAAAATTAGTGGTTTATATTTGTATAATGTAACTGGATTACATTTTTTCTCAGTACTATTCTAGCCTTTACTCCTACTTAATTTAAATCACTGGCATTTTAGTATATTCATAAATTCAGTTTGCTGAGTTATAGATATGACTGTTTCCAAAGGTGCCCATGGGAAGAACAAAATAGTAGACCTAGCTGTGCAGGGTCTCTTGTATGCCAAGATGGGCTTTTACCATTACCTCCCCTAGTTCTTACATATTTTCTTTTTAACTCAGAAAATGTACTGGTAGTATGAGGGTCCAGAATACTGAAGTTTATGTTGAATTTACTGTACATCCTTTGCATGAGAGAAAAAAATCTTGGTCAGTTACAGACATAGTTAAATCTTTTACTTAAAAACACAGCTTTAAATGTTAAGTAGTCACTAAGGCATTTATCTCTAGCAGAACTTCTTCAGGTGTTAACAGTCTGAACCAGACATGTCCTAGTATCCTAAAAGTGGTTAAAATATACCATTTACTATATATATATAAATATATATATATATACCACCATTTATTTTTGTGCATTTTAGAGGCTATTTTTTGAAGGATGCTTTTCCAATGAAGAGGGGTTTCTTTCTATGAAAAATATTCTTGACAATTGATGGGTACTAATTTCTTGTTTCAGTATAGTAATATGGACCCTTGGCATTAAAGAATAGTTTGGCTTATTATCAACCCTTTTGCTTTCCATAGGGTAGTAAAAATACCTGTTAGTTAAAAAGTGATGGCAATGCCTGGGGTGGCCACATTTCAAAATTGTTCATATCAAATTTTTGTACTTGTATGTCTTCTCTGGGAAGGGATGACTGTATTTTATTATATTTTTTATTTTATTATTTTATTTTAATTTATTATATTCAGCCCTGTTGGAAAACCACCTTTCTCCTTCAATGGGCATAAACTTTTTCATGGTTGGTTTTCATATGACATGATATCAAGTTGAGAAATCAAAAAGTTAAAAAACTATAACATAAAGGCAAAGAACTGGTATTGAAATATAAGGTTATTTGAGACTTAAACTTTTCTTGTTCTCTCTCCAGAAAACAGAGAATATGTTTCACAGCAAGAGTATCATTGGGTATAAGAAAGCGTACTAGAATACGAGATGGAGTACAGACATGCATCAAAATGTAGTAGGCTATATGAATTCAGTTTTAATGATAATTTTGTCAAGTTTATTATTTGTATTTTGGCATTATTTGGAAAGTTAATTGCATTTAAATCCCAATGGATAGTCCCTATTATTTCATTAAATTGATGCTTTGTAGGAAATTTTTCCCTATAATAACCCATAATTGGGATTACTGATTTACTGCTGAGAGTCACTGACAAAGAATTTCTAAGTACAGTAAATCAGTAACGCTGTTAGTACAGAATTAAACTTTCCCTGTGAGAATGAACACTTCTATATGGAAATGAAGCATTGGGCATTTGTTACTAATATTACTTTACTTGCTTATCATTACACTATTCTAAATGGGAAAGGGGCAGCTTTTATAGCCTAATATTTTAGAGTTCCAACTTTAAAATCATCTGGGATGCTGGAAGGTCCACTCAAGACCCTACCTTGGGTTATTTTGTCACTTTTTGATGTGAGAACATCTAACATGTTGTTAGATGTATTAGTAGGCATAGACATTTAACAAACTTGGAGAATTCCTTAGAATAATTTTGAGGACTTAAAAAAACTAATCTTTAGCCTCAAAGTCACATTTGTTTTAGCTAAGTCAACAATTAAAAGCTTTCCTAGGTGCTTAATAATACCATAGAGTGACTAGTTTTAACTCGTTCTTGGGGGGGGGGGGTTTCTCTGGAGTCTCTCCTTATTGTGATAGGACCCTAATGAATGTAACACACAGGTGAAAAGGGAAGTACTCTAACTAAACTTGCCGCTAATAGCATTGACTGAAACTGGCAATCTTTTCAGCTTGGTAGTAAATACAGTGCTTTAGGATTCTGTAGAATGTAGGTCATCTTGTTTACTGTTACATACCATGAACTTGAAAAGATAAATCTGAACTGGGCATTTTTTTAAGAACGTAAATGTTCAGCCAAAAACCAAAGAACAAAAGCAAACCTGATGCTTTAGATAACTTTACTGTAAACTAAACAATCTCAAAATTTGATTGTGTCTCCATCAGCTTGTATACTGTGTGTAAGAATATATGCATTTCTTTTGTAGCCACGCCATGAATATTTTAATGTCCCTGTGTACTAAGTGACTGCTCATCGACTATGCAGAATTTCACAGAGGAAATAGAGAACTGATATACTTATGAAAGAAAATGTCCTCAGCTTGGTGACTAATTCTCCTGTAAAAAGATAAAAAGCATCTTAGAGCTAGTACCTTTTTGATTGTATCTTTTTCTGTGCATATTCCTAATTCTATTTTCATTCTGTATATGATATTGATATATAGTTTATTTCTGTCTACTACTGTTTTCTTCCTGACAAAAATGACTTGTGAATATTTTGATTAATATCCTAAACACATACAAGTTATTGTTAGTAAACCATCTGTGATTAATCTTATGAGAGTATAACAGAAAGGCTGGGCAATCACAAATGTTTACCAAAGAAAATAGTTATGAACTCAGGCAAAGTTAGCAGCACCACAGTATTTAGTCCATTGTGTGTTGAAGAAAACCAAGCTTTATTTAACACTAAGATTATCTTACAGTCTATATGAGCTAGTATGTTCGACTGTATCACATAAAAGTATACGTTGAAGCAATATAAGAAAAATCATTTATAATTATATAAGACCTAAGGTTCAAACATTGAATTTTCAAGAAATTTTGTAGTGCCAATATTTATTGAGCCACATGTATGCAGTGTCAAACAGTCCCTTTGACTATCAGAAAGCTATGTCACAAAGTCTCCTGAAATGTCTGTTGCTCAGTAACAACTCTTTTGAAGTAGTAATACTGAGCCTATTTACATGATAAGAAAATTTTGATATTCATTTTAAGTATCCAAACATTTTTATTTATTAGTTAATGGCTTCCTAATTAATATATTAAGCCTTCTAAACACTCAGTGCTGTGTTAACTATGGTTGTATATTTTGAAATACTAAAAGCTTTTAATATTAATTTTATATAAATATGCTTTTAAAAACATTTAGCGTATTTTATTATAAAAAGTACCAGATAACTCATTGTTTATATTTAGGGAATTTAGAGCCTAAGTAAATTGTCATTAAACAATAACTTCAGAGGCATGGTAGGGCATGACTGTCATCCTAGCACTTGGGAGGCTGAGGCATTACTATGCTACTGAAGGAGTCCTTGTCTCAAAAGACAAAAAGTAAATATGCCAAAAAATACCCAAACCAGTTTCTCATTGAAAGATCTATGAAAATGCCTTAAGAAACGTAGTATTAGGCAGCTGTATAGATCAACTATCTCCATTACCATCTGAAGCATCACAAAACATTGGTCTTTCATTTCCATTTTTTCCATCCTCCCACCCTACATGTTGTTCATCTGATTTTAATGTTGCATAAATATGCATTGTCTCATGCCTGTTTGTTTTGGATGCTGTGTGCTGAGCTGTAACAAAATGTTGCGCTTTTTTTTGAGGGGGGGTATCTGTATACAGCTGCTTGCTTTAAATTAGCAGATTCTGAAAGAGCTTTTCTTGCATGTCTAAAATAAAGTATTGCATGTACTTTGTCTCATGTGAATGACTTTTTTCTACTCCATCCTTTTTGATAAAATAACATTTTATATTTTCATTTCTCCAGGTAATTTTTAAAATTGTGATAAAAAAAATAACATAGAATTCACCATTTTAACCATTTCTGAGCCTACAGTAGTGCTAAGTATATTCATATTGTACAACAGATCTCCAGAACTTTTTCATCTTGCAAAACTGAAATTACATAACTCATCAGCCAACCACTTCCCATTTCTCTCTCACTGAAGGAAGGCCCTGGTAACAACCATTCTATTTTAATCATTTCCCTAAATAATTTTGAGCTACAATTTCAGTGTGAACTTGTAAAAATTACATTTTGTATTATAAACAGTTTGTACAAACATTCAACTTATCCAGTCTTAAAGGCATAAAATGTGTAAATTAGGCCTTTTAGAAAGGACATATATTTTAAATAAATGCAGATTCAGAAAGCAACATGATTCTCTTCAGACCACAGGCAGTGAGCACTCTGGAGAAATCTGATCATCCAGGGAATAGTTATGAGCCATTTTTATCTAGATAGGCTGAGAATATAAACTGTATAGAATTCAGTGTAGGGATCCTTTAACATATTAAAGGTTACATGAAGTTTAAAAATGACTTAATATTATATGGAAATAACCTTTAAATTCACATGTACTTTGTCTCATGTGAGTGACTTTTCTTCATCCTTTTTGATAAAATAACATTTTATATTTTCATTTTTCAAGTAATGTTTTAAATACAGAATTCACCATTTTAACCATTTCTGAGCCTAGAGTATAAAATAGTTTAGTGATTCAGATATCACTCTCCGTGTATTTAATGGTTAAAGAAAGCCAAACATTTTTAAGCAGAAGAGATGAGCATCTTTCACTATTGTTGTTAGACTGTCTTTAAAAAACTATCATGAAACATCTAGACAAAACCAGAATCCCATACAGAGCACTCATTTATACATCACTCAACATCAACAGTTATCAACTTCATACCCACTTGTGTCCTAGAGAAACTGTCATTTCATCTTTAATGCTTCAGTATGTATTCCTAACAGATCAGTGCCACACCAAACAAAATGGACAGTAATTAATTTTGTCTTGTGCCTGGCTCAGTTTTTCCTAATTATCAGAGGGGAATAAATACCTTCTTACAATTTATTAAATTAGATTCCCAAGAAATTTTATATGGATGGTTCATAGGCCTTTACTCTCTCAATTTTTAGCAAGCCTGTTTTTTGTTTTTTTTCACTCTGCCATTAAAAAACAAAAATGGACTTTTTGATGCTGCCATACAGTTTCCCACATTGCTATTTAGGTGATTATATTCTTGTGACAATGTTTACCTTTTTCTTTTCTCCATCTCAGATCTGTAACCTGGTAAGATTGCAGTTCAGTTGGGGGGAGGCAAGTGTACTTCATAGATTATATTACCTTTTGGAAAAATGTCCTTTTTCACTAAAGCTGATTTCCACCCATTTTTCATTACTAGACAAGCATACTAACATGCATTCTATGAACTTTTTTTGGCTAAAGTATTTAGTACTAAATGCTAAATCCCTTCATTTAGATTTCACTATCAGCTAATATTTTTAAGCACTTTCTTTAAATCAGGCATTGAGCCTTAAACTCCTCTCAACATATGAAGGTAAGTACTATTTTTGTTTTCCAAAGATGGAAACAACAGATTTTAAGTCATTTAAGATTACACTATGTAGTGTATTTCCTACCATTCAACATAACATTCTAAGGATTCCTGATGTAATATAATTTTTCTTTTCCTTGTTTTGTGCTGTCTCATGATTAGGATGCAAAAGTAAGTTTATTATTGGATAACAAAATCTCACATTGTTTTCATCTATTAAAATAACCATGTTGCTTTTTAATTCCAAAATTGCTGGTAATAGCTAATTGCTGACCTATATGGTCCTTTTTTTTACTTTTATAGTGTACAAAATTGGGCAGTTTGGAAAATTTTTAAAATACCTCTTTTAGATTTGGCTGATGTGGCTTTGACATCGAAAACAAATATTCCTTTTTCTATTAAGATGAAAACGCTTTTTGTTCCATAGTTTGTTTCTTCTGTATGTCACTTCCAGCAGTGCCAATGGATACCCAAGGGCGGTCTGGGAAGGTGGCTGTTTCTAAAGCATTGCAGGGGACAGTTAAGGACAAACTACAGCAAACATTTTTCTAGTTAAGCTGTGACAAGACAAAACGTTCAAAGTGTTAGAGGCCTCACTAGAACTTGCGGGGACCGGGATTCTTACTTGGAAGACATTTTGAACTTTACTGGTTTAGATACTATTTTCTGTGTATAGTTTCATACATTGCTAGTCAGTTTGCAATGGGCTTGCTTTTTGTGTTATAGCAATCGATGGTGCCCAGCACACTGGTCAGTAATTAGGTATTTAGTAACTGCTGAAAACACTCTTCTGGGTTTTAGGCAGCAATCTTTGAAAACCACTGGCTGTCACTAGATTGCTCCTGTGACCCTGCATTGCCGCCTTTCTTCTCTAATGTGCATGCCCTTCCTGTGAGCTTTTCATATTCTTAAGACCCCCTCCGGAGCTGTATCTGCTTACCAGAGTCTCACATTTTTCCTCCACAGGAAGCTGAAACCCCACGTAGTGTTCTTGAAGAAATTGGACTGACATAACTGTCCTCCCTTGCTGATGACTTCTTGTGGCATTTCACACACTGTAGATGGTCACTGCCTCTCATGTCCATGTTAGCTAATGGTGTAAGATGATGTCTTGTCAGTATTACTGTTTTGCTAAGCTGCTTCATTCAGGCCTACCCAATTTTTTTTTTTAAAGGGAACTTTGGTTAATCAAATGATAAATTAAGAGATATAAATATGAATTAGAAAGATGTAGAAAAAGTAACATACCATTTCTGGACATTTTAAAGTTTAAAGGTTAGCCTCATAATTATGTGCATATATAAAAATGATACGTCTATATTCTTATATATCCAACAATCTGGCAAAATACATTTACTACTGGACTTGAAAAAGGAAAGTTAAATTATGTGAAACCTGGTTTGATGAAACCAAAGACTAGAGTAGTATTTCAGTATATATAAGAATAAAGGAAATTGACACATCACAGATCAAATGAAAGAAAGTTTATTGAAAATTTAGGTAACCAAATTTATACCAAAGACCCTTATTGGATACATCATACATTACAACAAAGGGAATAGATGCTTTTAGAGGACTAACTTAGAATGTTGCTATTTTACACTAAAATTCATTAAGTATTCTGAATGAGTGGGACAAGGAACAAAGACTTTCCTAATCTTGAGCACATAATTTTTAAGGCCAAGGAACATTTGACTCCTGAGGTAAAGTTTTAGTGGTCATAATCATGTAGTTACTTGTTTTCAATACCCCAAATTAAAGTAGAACCGTTAATTACCAGGTATTCTTCATAACAGTATGTTGCTCTGTTCACAAAGTGTTACATAAAGTCATTATCTAGAGCATGAATGTTCCTTCTGGGGTGCTTGTTAAAGCCAAATTTATTTTTGCTTCCCTGTTGCTTCCTTCCAATTAGAAGTGCTACAAACTTGACAGCAGCTCCCTTCCCTTTCCCGTTACTGCCTAGTCATCGGAAGTCTTACGGAAATTTAAAAGATACCTTTCGTACAGCAAAGTGAGAATTGAGTGAAGTAAAATGGCATTAGTTGGCTCTATATTTTTTCAAGCTATATAAGTGCTCGGCATCACTTTTCTACACACTGACACATACCTGAACACATCTCCCTGATTTCTACTTTCCCCTGTATATGCTAGGCTGGAGTAAGCTTTGCTGTGATTGTGAACAACTTTCAAGCCACCTGAACACTGTCTTATCACATCACCAATTAATGGTAATAAATGTTCTACAAACACTGTGGTGTACTTTTATCTCTTTCCAAAAGTTTTGTCAAACTAGGGAGAGCTGTTGAAGGGTTCTTTCTTTTTCAATACAGTGTTGACAATCCCTCTCCATCTGACACCCCACCCCCAGCACTGGAATGTCACGGTGGTTGCAAGCACACACAAAAATGACAGGAGTCGAGGAATTTTCATGTACATCAAGCTCATTAAAAAAAAAATCACATGAATTTTATGCTATCAAGAACTTACAACACATTTATTTTCAATTAATAAATGCCGCTTTTAACCCCTTGATGTAGCTGCCTTTTATACGCTTTCTGATTTAGCAACTCGGATTACTCCAGATAATCAAATGATATCCAAATGGTGAATCCTCACCTCCTACATATGAGGAAGTGCTAGCACATGCAACAGACTAATATTTGCTGACTGCTGCCTACTGTAAGCAACAAGTCAAACTTCCAGTTACAGTACTAGTATGGTTATGGGGCCTTCTGCTACTGCAAACAGAAATTATTGCATTCTAAGCCTGAGATATTTAAGAACAAGGAAAGGATTTTGAGCAAATTAAGTTGAAACAGACATTTGTAGGTTTAAAGGGCTTTTGCAAATGCAGCTGTTCACTAAAAAGCCTGTGAGCTTCTATCAGTAATGTGGAGTTGAGTTGTAATTTATCACAGACACACACAGGCATCCATTCATTATAGTAAATGTAAGCTCAAAGTCACTCTCAGGGGAATGACCCAGGCAGAGGTTTTCTAAACTCCCCCTGCACTCTGTACTGGCCATTAACATTTGAGGAGAAAGTCATCACTTGTTCAGTTGTCTTGAACCCACGAAGATGGATTTTCTTTCCTTTCCCATCAGGATCTAAATATGTAGCTTTAGGACTGAGGATGGACCTCAGGGGTAGCACCCCTGCCTACTATGTTTGAAGCCCCAGCATCACACATACAAAACAATTTTTACATCATCTTGGCTGAAGTTTGAACAGTATTTTAAAAGTACCAAATTTACTTTATTCAGCATTAATGAACCCAGTGAATATAGAAATCCATCATTTTTAGTATCAAGTAGACATTTAGAATTGAAACAAGTTGCATTTTGTTAAAATTTTTCAACATTTTGTGCCTGTTTTTTTGTTTTTGTTTTTTTTCTAAAATGAGGCAGGGTCCCACTCTAGCCCTGGCTGGCATCAGCCTCCCAAGCGCAGGGATTACTGGCATAAGCCACCACACACAACTTGTATGCATCTTTAATGAAATCTCAAACATCAGATTCCTAAATACCATGTGACACTGAATGTTGACGTCCAGAGCGAGACAGTGAAAGTCTCTGAGAGGAAAGCATCTTGGGAAAGCTAGGGATAATATACATGGTCTACATTCAGTTCTCTTCGCTGATCACTCTTCAGTGATTGTTATACCAGGACTGTTTTAACAGTGCATGGAGTCAATAGTGACATATATTCTGGGAAATGACAAAATGCCTCTATATAAAGAACTGTCACAACACACTATTCAAGTAAGACATACACCGCGACAGCCCCCAGGCAAAGGAGGGGCTGTAGATATGGGGAAAGAGGAGTATAGAAATGGGTACTGCAACACTTTGAAACAGCAAAAAAATTCAACTTTTACATATAGAAAAAATACAGTATTTTAAAAGAACAAAAAATAATGTCCATTAAGTACAAAAAACAGCAATAATAAAAAACAATAACTTAAATACCTAAACTTGCCAAACTGGTAAAGATCAAGCTAACTTTGTGCCGTGGGAGCTGTAAGGTAACTTTGTCATCTTACAGGAAGGCAATTTGTATTGCTTTCTTGACATGGATTATTCTAAGAAATTGATCAAAATGTATGGAAATCGCTAAGGAAATCTAAGAGCGTCATCCCTAAAAATCCAACAATAGGGATGCTGTCAAATAAATGTAGATTGTATTCTCTATGAAATGAGTAAAAATACGAATTTTGGGACTAAAGAATCAGGATTAATGAAATGAGACAACTGAGTGAAAAACATTAAAGCCATATGTGACTTTTGAGTTAAAAAATCAAGTGTGTTGGGCTGGAGAGATGGTCCAGTGGTTAAGAGTACTGGCTACTCTTCTAGAGGATCTGGGTTTCATTCTCAGCACCCAAAATGGTAGTTCACAACCGTCTATAACTCCAGTCCAGGGGATCTGAAACCGTCTTCTGGTCTCCATGGGCACTAGGCATACGTGTGGTGCACACAAATACATGCAGGCAAAATACCCATATGCATAAAGGTATGGACACTTAACAAGAATAAAGGTGGGCCGGGCGGTGGTGGTGCACGCCTTTAATCCCAGCACTTGGGAGGCAGAGCCAGGTGGATCTCTGTGAGTTCGAGGAAAGGCACAAAGCTACACAGAGAAACCCTGTCTCAAAAAAAACAACAACAACAAAAAAGATGGCTCAGAGGGTAAAGATACTTGGTGTGAAAGCCTCATGATCGCAGTTCAATCCCTGGATCTCATGATGTAACTGACCCCTGAAAATTGACCTCTGTACTTCAGAGAGAGAAATACAGAAAACAAAAAAATGCTAAAGCATTACTCCAGTATTAATGGATGCTCTCAAAGTTAGCATTACAAGTAATTTCATGTTATTTTATATATATAATTTATCAAAAAGTATGGTTTACATGATAATGTTTGACTAGCCTTGTCAAACTATACAGGTGAGTAGCTGCCATAAAAAGACAGACTGATATTTAAAAACAACCAAGTTTATTTAGATTTGGGACTCTGAGTGTTTTTGTCTCTACTACCTGACTTCCTCCTGCTCTGACTCCTGGACCTTGATGAGCTCCGGCTCCGGCTCCGACTTCGGCTCTGGCTTCGGCTCCGGCTTTGGCTCCGACTCCGGCTCCTGCGGCTCCTGCGGCTCTGGCTCCAGGGTCCTGGACTGTGATCTCTTCTTCGTCCTCTGTTCAGGGAACTGCGCCTCTCACGACTTTTTGTCCCGTGTTTGTGAGACTTCTTCCCCCTGTGATTACTACCGCTCTTCCTGTCAGACTCACCGTTTCTCTTGTAGGAGAGGTCTGGACTCGGGCTCCTTCGTCTTCTTGACCTGCCATAGTATTCATCATAGTGGCTGGTCCTTTCCCTCCTCTCTAAATTCTTACAGAAGGAGGAGCTAGGCCAATCTGGAGACAGGTAGATGTCTCTATTAGCTTCCCTAAATTCATTGTTGGGATTTCTGAACACGTGAAGAAAGTTGCAGTGTTTTCCTCTTGGACACTGCTGTACTTCAAATAAGCCTGTGAGGGCAAGTGAAGAGGCAGTGGTTATCACTGGCACTACTGTAATTTCATTCTTTTTCTGAAATCAGAAGAGGAATTTCTGAAGTCTGAGTATGTCTGCACTGTTTCTTACAGTGTTTGATGTAAACTGATGTCCTGATTTGTTGCCTACGGTTGCAAGAACATTCAAATGATAAAAGGTGCCCTAAAAAGATCACAAACCAGTTTTTGGTTTTTTTGTTTTGTTTTGTTTTTGTTTGTTTGGGTTTTTTTGGGTTTTTTTTTTTTTGGTTTTCTCAAGACAGGGTTTCTCTGTGTAGTTTTGGTACCTGTCGTGGATCTCCGTCTGTAGACCAGGCTGGCCTCGAACTCACAGAGATCTGCCTGGCTCTGCCTCCCGAGTGCTGCGATTAAAGGCGTGCGCCACCAGCACCCAGCCACAAACTAGTTTTAATTAAGCAGATCACCTGTGCCTTGTGATGTCAGCAGAGTACAAGTGAACAAACAGTGACTACATCATCTACTGATTCAAGAACTGAACTTTGGAATCCTTTTATTAGCATTTTTCTGAAAGCATATGCTGCTCAAGAGAAGGTCCAACATAGTCTCTACATAATAAGAACATAATACCCAGGTATGATGGCACCCTTATGTTCACGGGCTGCGATACATGAGGTCCTGTCTAACCACACAGACACAAAGAAAGAGAGAAAATCAAAAAGAAAGAAAACTTTTGTGGCTGAAGGTAAATAAAGTAAAACAATGAGCTAGCATTTGCAGATGACCTCTGTGATCAGGTACTGGTATATAGAATCTATGAAGAATTTCTATAGCTGAATAACAAAAAGATGTAACATGATTTAAAATGGGCAGCTATCTAAATAGAGATCTCTCCAAATAAGATATACCAGAAGTCAATGATAAGGAAACAAAAGTTATTAGTCACTGAGAAAGATACTAAAGCTGTTTATATTTTTGTGATTGATGTTGTTGTTGTTTCTAATGAAATAAGACTCCTGGTTTGGAGGTTTCAAAGTTATACTCAAGCATATCACTGGAATCACACTGCGTCTTGAGGAACTAGCAAAGCTAAATGCCTATAAAGAGAATATACTGTCATCTTGTTCATCTGCCCAACCCTTAAACTTAGAGTATAATGGTGGTTCTTGTTTTTCAAAGCAAGGAATTCTAAAATTCCATGCATACATACACATACACACACACACACACACACACACACACACACACACACACACACACACACACACACGTTTTTTCAAGGCATTTCTCTGTGTAACAGCCCTGGCTGTCCTGGAACTCACTCTGTAGACCAGGCAGGCCTCCAACTCAGATCCACCTGCCTCTGCCTCCTAAGTGCTAGGATTAAAGGTGTGCACGACCACTGTCCCAGCTTTTTTATTTATTTTTAAAACTTTTTAAGGTTTATCTTATGTATATGAGTGTTTTGCCTGCATTTATATATGTGCACCATGTACATGCCTGGTGCCCATTGAGATCAGAAGAGGGTGTCAGAATCCCTAGAACAGGAGTTATAGCCAATGATGAACCAACATGTAGGTGCTGGGAACTCAACCTGGGTCCTCTATAAGAATAAGTGCTCTTAACCACTGAACCATCTCTCTAACCCCTCCTTTTTGATAACTGTTAGATTAATTAATCAATTAATTACTTTATTTCAAGAAAAGGTCTCACTATATAGCCCAAGCTGGCCTTTAACTCACAATCCTCCTGTCTTGGCCTACCCCCAGTTTTGTAACTGAAGGGAACACCATCCATGCCCACCATAAATTTTTTTTTTTAAATGACAGCATCCATTAAAAGAAGGCTGCTAAAGATTTAGCCTTGCTTGATTAAAAACAACAACAACAACAAAAAACCTGAGCAGGAAGTGCAGCAAAACACAAGGAGAAGGCAGACGTACACCCCTGAGGTATTAGAGCTTCGTGTCTCTTCACCTGGGGAACTTCCACACTGCTTTGGCTAAGCATACTTTTAGAACTCAGAAAATGATTAGACCTTCAACGCGGCTGGTTACTCTCTGCAGTGCTGAATCATTTCCTGGTTTGGCTGCCGATCTCAGATGAGTCAGTGTAACTGAGAGCACCCAATGTACAACTTAACTGATCCACACCTACTAATGGTCTCAAATGCACAAGAGCATGACTTCAAGTAATGTGGGGAATGTTAGCCACGGGTAATATTTGTGGTGTTGATGAGGGAAGAGTCCTTAGGGATCAAGGCTGAAACAGACAGCTCAAGTAAGGAGAAGCAATGAACAGAAAATGCCTCTGAACCTGCGACACGGATAATGTGCGTATCTTTAGTTTAGACACTGCACTGTCACACACAGAACCCAGGACTGAGGATCCGAAGACTGAAATTCAAGCCGCAATTCTGTCACCAACATATTGTGACCTCAGTCCTTCCATGCATACAGTGACCCACAGGCCTGTACAGATCTAAACTGTGGTGTCCTTTATATAACCACTCTGCTCATCTGTTGTATGAAACAAAAACTGTACTTCATCCCTTCAAAATACTCTTTTCTTCCTAGGAAGATTCCTTTGTGTAGTACAGCAGTGGGGGAGGGGTGCCACTACATTGGCTTTTACCACAAATTGCCATTTTCCACCGGGTCACTGGGCAGAATTCGCACTGAAGCTGTCGTCCTGCATACCATCGTCCATTAAAAAGAGAAAAAGCTGCTTGACAATCTTCTTCCCTTGGAAGCAAAAATCAAAGGTTGTGCTTTTAACTCTCATAGGTAGAGCAAACCTATTCTGAATTAACCCTCTTGTCCAATTACTGTAGGGTGTTGCCAAGGAAGTCTTCAGAGCATTCAGGTTCCCACAGCCTAGTTTATTCAGGGACCTTTGTCATTAACTCTCTGAAATGTTTCATCATATGGAAATTGGCTGGAGTCAAAGCTTCTTAATGTGCAAGATTAGACCATTAAATCTGCAGAAGTGTTTCCCCTTGTTAGAACCCATGCTTTCTCAGCTAGGACTGCTATTCTTCTTATTACAATGGCTAATTGAAGCCATTAGCCTTGGCACCGCTCAGAGAAATGGTAATGCATGCAGGAATGATACAGAACCTCCATTACTAGCTGGTCAAATGCACACTATTTGGAGCTTTAACTCCTTGTACCTTAGATAGGTATTTCCTACTCTATTCTAATTAGCCCTTTTTCAGTTTGTATTTTAGTTGTGAGAATTATACAATATATATATTATAAAAGAATCAAAACTATGTAAATATACAAAGAATGAAAAGGTGTATTTTTAAATCTTGCCTATTTCCCCATGAGCTCTTCATATTGACATTTTGAAAAGTATCATGCATAGGAAAGCTACACATTCAGTGACATCAAAGAAACATAATATACCGCAACTATGACGAAACATGAAGATGCATGTATGTTCGTAATACTTACGACTGGTACTGAACATACACATTGCCCCTCAGATGAGGTTCCAAGTTGCAGCTGACCTAAGGAACAAAAAAGAATGCTGTCACCAAAAGAAAAACTTTTCAAAAGAAGCCAACCCTCAAATGCATTTTGCCAGGCTAATAGTCCCAAAGAGTTCACGATAGGCCAACATGCTTTCTTATCAAGTCAAGCCGTAGCTAAGCACCTAACAACACTGCAGACCTCAACTGCCTGATCTCTATTGATCCTGGTCTGCTGATTTTAAACCCTGAAATGCTTCACAGAGACATGAAAACAGAATACAAGGGTTGAAGACATGACAGTTAAGAGCACTTGTTATATAGGGGGCACGGTGTTTCTGCTTGGAATATATATGTATATTATATGTGTAGACTTGTACAGACACATGAACACACACAAGCATGCATACATTATGTATGTGCTGATAATAAATATGTCACTTACACAAATATACTAACCAAATAGTATATATAATTATGTATATGTATACTGTTTCAGGTGTATCTAACATAAATAGCCTCCTGTGAACCACATGTTGACAGTTATGAATGTGGCCCAACACAAAAAAATCACAAAGTTAATTAAAACACTTTGGTTTTGTTTTGTAACTTGATTGCAGTTCTCAGGCATGAACTCTATGGATGACATTATGTCACAATGTCAAAAATCTGGACACACGTGCTGGTACTGCTTTGTACCTTTAAAATTTTTAAACTTTTTTTTGAGACAGGGTCTCTCTACATAATCCTGGCCATCCTGAAACTTACTATGTAGACTAGGCTGGTCTCAAACTCACAGAGATGCACCCACCTCTGCCTCTCAAGTGCTAAGATTAAAGGAGAGCTCCACCATGCCTCGCTCTAAAATTTCTTTATAGATGGTATTCTTTATTCTTTTTCAAGATGCTAATACAAGCTTAATGACTCAACTCATATATACTAGACATATCAAATCATCACATTTATGGATCAGCTCATGACTACCCATTCACAAAGCTGTCTCTGTAGGTGTTAAGAACTGCTATGGTCTTCATAAACAGAAGGAGCGTGCTGATTTATAGGTCTCCACTTCACTAGGCAGTACACAAGCTGCTCTCAGAAGGAGTTGTACTAATATATATCTTCTGCCTGACCTTGAAATTAATATAATTTATACCATATAGGTATGAATAATATATCATTTTCATGTATTGTTCCTACTATACGTAGGGTTAAACAATTGATCATTGCCTTCAAAAACGATAAATTTGATTTATATAAAATGACATATAAAAAGGTCCTTAAATATTCCTATGACGCCAGGTGGTGGTGGCACACGATTTTAATCCTGGCACTCAGGAGGCAGAGGCAGAGGCAGAGGCAGGTGGATCTCTGTGAGTTTGAGGCCAGCCTGGTCCACAGAGCTAGTTCCAGGGCAGCCAAGGCTACACAAAAGAAACCCTGTTTTAGGGGCTGGAGAGATGGCTCCAGTTAAGAGTACTGACTGCTCTTCCAGAGGTCCTGAGTTCAATTCCCAGCAACCACATGGTGGCTCACAGCCATCTGTAATGAGATCTGGTGCCCTCTTCTGGCCTGCAGGCATACATGCAGACAGAACACTGTATACATAATAAATAAATATTTAAAAAAACAACAACAATCAAAAAAAAAGCTAGATGCCCCCCCAACAAAAAAAATTTTTTAAAAACCCTGTTTTGAAAAAAAAAAGAAAAGAAAATATTGCTACTAGTATTTAGCTTTTTCTTCAGACTGAAGTTACATTTTGCTTTAGAGTGTTATTAGAACATCTGAAGGGAGACAAGACCCTACTCAATTTGTAATACCATCTTTAGAAAGAAGAATAAAGGGCCTTAGGAGTCCATGTCAAACATGCCCAGGGACCTTAAAATTTATTTTATTTAGTCAGGCTTGGTGGCACATGCCTAAAATCCCAGTAATAGGGAGGTGGAGACAGGAGGACTACTATAAGTTCTAGGCCAGTCTGAGCTGCAAAAAAATGAAAAGTGATACAGCACTTTTGCCCAGAATGTAGAAGGCCCTAGATTCAATCCTCAGAACCATGTAATGACAACAATATTAATAATTTAGTCCCATGGCTGCCAAAGACCTACTGATTTTCCATAATAAATTCAATGTTCTGATAATTTCTGTACCACAAATTTACTAAACAGCTTTCTTTTCATTTATCAATGTGATTAGCATGAGCCCTATCATCCTGTTTGCTTTCTAGAAAAAAAAAAGGTGTGGTGAGTGGATGCAGCCTGCTACATGTAATAATGCAGCTTCCACTAACCTCCCTGAAAGCCAGCATCCCTACCCCACTGTGCTGGGGACAGAACCCAGAGCCTTGAACAAGGTAAGCACTCTGTGGCTAAGCTACCAATCTGAAGTTCTGAACACAATTTCACCATTACCACTCCACCAAAGCAGGATCCAGGGGTCCTTGAAGGAAACCACTGATGTAAGCCAATCTCACCGTTGAGATAAGGCACACAGAGATAAAGCGACATCTGGAGAGCAAACACTCTGCCTCCTTAGCTGGAGTTTGCTTCCATGTGGAACAATGCAGACATGACCACATTTAGGGGCTATCATTTGCTCTTAGTAGTGAGAAGCTAGGAAGGCATATGCCACAGGAATAAACGTTTGGAGAGAAATTTTCGTTTGTTTACACTTTCATTTGTATGTGCATGCCATGCTCGTGTCACAGCGTGAATGTGGAGGTCAGAGGAAAGTTGGCAAGCGTCAGCTCTCTCCTCCTGCCACCATGTGGGTCTTGGAGATTGAATTCAGGTCGTCAGGCTTGGTGGCAAGTGCCTTTACTCACTGAGCCATTTGCCAGTCCAAGAGAAAAACAAATTTTTATTTCTATTTTTCAATTTAAATTTTATTTTTTTAAAAAAGCCTACCCTGCTCCCCACTTACTCCCCCTATTCTACTTTCCTTTTTATCCCTTTATAACACTATGTTCTATTTCCCTTTCCTTGGAAAACAAATTTTAAAGAATATATTTTAAATCTGGAAAGCCAATTGTAATTTCAGATTTCTTGTATCTATGGCACGTGATTATTCCAACTCTATACTTTCATTTCTGACAGCAAGAAAAAGATAAAAAAAACCTATAGCTTTATTCCTACTTTTCTCCAAAATAAGGAACATTTCCCTTGTCCTCATAATACAAAGTCATTCAGGTTCAGATATGATCAAATCACAGGCAAGCAAGAGGCCTACGTATTGGGATTCACCCAATGAGCCCCAGGAACAGCAGCAGCCATATCTCACCTTACGCAGTGAGTGAAACTGAATGACAGTTTATATAACATCGTTCTGGGCACAAAAGAGGGAAGGAAGGGAGCCATGTCCATCACAAACAGCAGCTAACTGAAGGTTGGATGGCTAGGTATAGCAGACCTAACAATGAAGTCAACTGCTGGAAAGTGCTGCATCACAAAGGCACTGAATAAGGTCCCTTTCCAACCCAGGCCCTAGTATTCCAAATACATGCTAACACATGTTTATGATATCCTCTGGCATCCACACAGCATTGGGGTAGGGGTGGAAGGGAAGACAATCGAGTGACCTTAACAAATGCTGGCATGCTCAGCCATAGGCCAGGCATATACTGGCACATGACTCCACCTAAGGAACAGCCGGAGCCCTAGCTCTGCCCTGTATCCTGGATTTCAGGAGAACGTGTGTCTGGTCCCTTCCCAGCCTGTGCACACCTTAAACTGAATCACTTTTCCCACGTTCTTGAACTCGGGCAGGACATCATGATAGAAGTCTAGGAACTGCTGGTAGGTCTCTTCTTCACTGTATTCCAGGCTTGAATCAGGGTCATAGTCATCCCTCCTGCACTGCTCCATTCCAAATGTTGTAAACATGCTCTTAATAAGCAAGGTGGGACTTGATGTGGGGAAGTTGTGTTTACGTGAACACCTGCAGAAGAAAGCAAACAAATTCATTTGCCCAATAACTAAAAACCCGACATTAAAAGCTTACCATATTATCATCTTTCTTTGTAGCCCACTGGACCTGGTATGTACTGGAGGTTAATGTCAGAACTTCAGAATACTTTTGGGCTTGCAGCCTCACAAATTACCTCTTTTTTTGAGACAGGGTTTCTCTGTGTAGCTTTGAACCTTTCCTAGAACTCACTCTGTAGCCCAAGCTGGCCTCGTGCTCACAGAGATCCACCTGCCTCTGCCTCCTGAGTGCTGGGATTAAAGACATGCACTACCACCGCCCAACTAAAAGCTTACCATCAACCCTGAGATCAAGAATCAAGTAACATGGTTGTTTAAACTTAACTGTAAGATAATGAACACTCTTGCATGCCCAGTTACAGCACACAAGAAAACTGTCCTAAAACTGTTTCTCATTGAAATTCAAGATTGGGAATGGTTTCTACGGTCATATGCCATTCAGGAGCCTTTGAATATATTCAGAAAGATTTCTCCATGTTGAGTCATAGGGAAAGAAGGCCCAATAGTGTGACAGATTACGGTGATGGGACCATAGGAGACTCAAGGTGAGAATTAGCAATAGAATTTTGCTTGTACACAATTTTCAACTGATTTACACGCTTAGGGAATACAGTAATCTGGACCAGTGAGACAGCTCAGCTCAGTGGGTAAAGCACTTGCTGCATAAGCCTGATGATATGGATCGATCCCTGGATCTATATATTCCTCCCTTCCCCCTCCCCTCTCTCTCTCTCACACACACACACACTCATAATAATTATAATAATAATTAATAACATTTTTTAAGCTGGGCATGGTAGTGTACACTTTTAATCCCAACACTCAAGAAGCAGAGGTAGGCGAATCTGTGAGTTCCAGGTCAACCTATTTAGACAGCAAGTGCCATGCCAGCCAGTGTTCCAAGGTGAGACATGCCCTCAAAAATAAATAAATAAAATAATTTTAAAATTCAATAGGGCAATGTAAATTTTCCATTTACTCAAGTCTTGTCATTTTTTTTTTTTTTTTTTTTTTTTGGTTTTTCGAGACAGGGTTTCTCTGTGTAGCTTTGCGCCTTTCCTGGAACTCGCTTTGGAGACCAGGCTGGCCTCGAACTCACAGAGATCCACCTGGCTCTGCCTCCCGAGTGCTGGGATTAAAGGCGTGCGCCACCACCGCCCGGCAAGTCTTGTCATTTTATCTACATATAGCATTTTAAAGTTTTCATGCATTTTTTTATATTTTTTCCACTCCGATCCTTAACAGCCTGGTGGGACAGATGGTACTAGTATTTTACTTTGCCAAGTATGACGGTTAATGTTCATTTTCAACTTGACAATCTAGAATCACCTGAGAAAGGAGTCTCAGTGAGGGGCTGTCTAGACTAAGGTTATCTTCTGAGAATGTCTGTGAAGGATTGCCTTGATACTTTAATTGATGTGGGAAAACCCTCCTTAGTCATGGTGGGACTAGCCCCTGGGCAGGGGATCCTGAACTATATTTTAAATGGAGAGGTCAAACAGCATAGGCATGCAAGCATTAAATCACTGCTCTCTGCTCTTGACTGTGGTAGTGATGTGACTAGCTGCTTCAAGTTCCTCCCACCTTGGCTTTCCAACAATGAGGGACTGTAACCTGGAATTGTGAGCCAAATAAATCCTTCCACAGCAACAAGCAAAGAGTCCAAAACACAAAGGCAGCTGAAACCTAGAGAAGCATACCTCCCCAAGTCATGTGACTGAGAAGAGCCTGACCCTAGGGATCTGGGTTAAACTGGCATGTGGTCATTATAGAGTATAATAAATAAAACTTAATTTTTATTCACTGAAGGTACCTAGTAACGGTGAAGAACAATTTTTTTTCATAGTTGAAAATGGACCAAGGTTAAGTTGACTAGGTTATTCCAGAGTAATTTTTGAAGAAAATCATACATATGCGTTCACTTTCTTCTCTTCTTTACTCCTTTCTCCTGAAGTGCACTGGTGGGAGGGGCCACACAGCTCAAAGTCCTAAATAAATTTCTCCTGCTTAGGTTTCTAATTAAAAATCAGTAAGACAGGGTGGTGGTGGCACACACCTTTAATCCCAGCACTTGGGAGGCAGCCTGGTCTATAGAGTTCCAGGACAGCCAGGGCTACACAGAGAAATCCTATCTCGAAAAATAAAACAACAACAATAAAAAAATCGGGGGGGGGGGGGGCGGGAGGAGGGAGGACAGGGGAATCCGTGGCTGATATGTAAAATTAAATCAAATTACAAAATTAAAAAAAAATCAGTAAGACAAACTTAGGGAAAAAAACTTAGGAAGAAAGTTATAGAGTAGGGAATACTGCAAGGGACAGAGGGATACAATAGCCATCCTGGTCTACATAGTGAGGTCTAGGCCACCCTGGACTAGAGTAAGAAGCTGTTGCAAAACAACAAAGTTGTAATTAAGGTGTCTGTAGCCTAGCACACAATTAATGTTGCTCTCAACCTTAGTCAGAGAAACTTATTTTTGTAGTGGACAGTGGTTAATAACTGGCCAAAGTATTGAGAAAAAAAGTGTCTGTTGAATGCTCATCTCTAAACTGCTACAAGGCCCATGGAGGAATGGAAAAAAATGTAAGAGCTGACGGATGAGATTGAATGTGGCAAAAACTATTTCCTGGACAGAGCATGGCCACTGCAGTCATGAACTCAAAGTAGCTATTGTTACCTTTGCAAGATGTGGTAGTTCCAATCAGAATGGATCCGAAGGCTCATGTAATTTCTATATAGGAACTACTATGTCCAGTCCCTAGTTAGTAGACTGTATAGGGAAGGATTAGGAGGTGTAGCCTTGTTGCAGGAGGTGTGTCACTCAGGATGGGCTTTGACGTTTCAAAAGCCCACACTAGGACCAGTCTGTCTGTCTGTCTCTCTCCCCCACCCCTGCCCCAATGGCCTCTGGATCAGGATATAAAGCTCTCAGCTACTGCTCTAGCACCATGTCTGTCTGCTTCCCAGCGAGATGATAATGAACAAAACCCTCTGAAATTGTAAGCAAGCCCCTAATTAAATGCTTTCTAAGAGTTGGCTTGGCTTGGTCATGGTCTCTTCACAGCAACAGAATACTAAGACACAAGACCCGCATAAAAGCAAGCCCATCAACTTTCTAGCATTGATAGAAGTGAGGTACTTAAGACCTGTCCCTAGAGGTCGACAGCTGCTAGGGGTAGGGGACTTCCAGGATGCAGCTACTGGTAAATTGCCAATGACCCAGTAAATAACCTTGCATATTCAAGCGACACTAATTAAACTCGGTGGATTACTTAAATAAGAAAAGACATGAAAACAGGAGGAGAATGTATTGGGAAGAAGGGATCCAGGTGGAGTGGGAGGGAGATGAGAGGGTAATAGAGGTGAATATGACCAAAATACAGTTTAGACATGTATGAAATTGTCAAAGAATTTAAAAAAAAAACAACAAAACTATAACCAAAAAGTTTAACAAGCAAAAGCAAGCATCCAAAGAAATGTTTATGGTAAGGAAGTGTTTCTCTGTCTGGCATGTTTATATACTTGTAATCCTAGCTACTCAGGAGTTAGAGACAGGAAGATGACAAGTTTGAGTGCAGCCTGGATTATAGACTAAGACCTCATTTTTTTAAAAAAGGAAAGAAACAGGTGTTTCTCTGGCATCTGACATACCTTAAGAGATGATCCAGCTATGTTATTTGGAGCAAGTGATCCAGCCTCTCCACAAGAGGGAAACAGAACAGTCTATTTGTCTGAAAGGATGGCACTGGCTTTCATAACCACTAATTTCACACAATTTAATGCAATTAATTACTTGAACAATGCAAACAGCCAAGTTGTTCTCACACTTTGATAGTTGTGATGGTAAAGTCTCATATGCCTATGACAATGATAAGAAATGGTCACAAACTAATTTGACTATGGTCTGTATTTTTTTTTTTTGGAATGACTGTCAGAGATGGAATCTGGCAGGCCACTCGCTTTTCCACAAGGAATTATCTGTCTAGTATTCATAAAACTATTTAATACACCTGTCCTCTCACAACCAACAGGAGAATCCTGAATCTGGCTTCCCCAGGTCTTCAATTTCAAGGAAATTAGAGATGCATCATAAAGGAGAGCACCTGAAAAGCCTTAAAGGCAGCTTGGCTCAACTATCCACGCCAATGGGAACTGAAAGTGGGGCTCGCTGATCTCGGGAAGGCCATCTGTCCACCATCTTTCTTTAGTGGGAGGTGTTTTATACAGATCAGTATTTGTTTTGTGTGTGGTCGTGCCCAGGCCACAGCACAGTAGGAAAGTGAGAGCACCACTGGGAGTCAGCTATCTTCTTTCCCCATGAAGATCCAGGGATGGAGTCAGGTTGCCCGGTCTGCAGCGAGCACCTCTACCCACGGAGCCATCCATCTCACGAGCTCTTAAGCAGATCATATTTTACTGTTTCTTCTTTAGAAAAAATGTTCCTAAAGGTACCAAAGGGAGGGTAGCCTCCTTTCCTCAGTACTACAGTTCCTCAAAAGAGGCCTTTCTACTTCTTATCAAATTCCGAGTCCTTCCACAGATATTCTGGCCATCCACAATTCCAGCCATCAAATCCAATACCTAAAAGCATCTCAAAACTAGACTTACCCTAGCCTCTGAAATTCTCATTTACTCAATTTGAGGTGAGATTGATTGATTTTGTTTAGCCTTTTTTCTTTTTACATGATTTCATTATGTATCCAGGGTTGTGAACTACTATTCTCTCTTTTAATTTTTAAAGATTTCAATCTTATTTATGTGTACTTGTAGGGGGGCATGCATGAGTACAGGTGCCTGCTGAGGTCAAAGAACAGTGTCAGATCCCCTGAAGCTTGAGTCACAGGTCATTTTGAGCTGCCTGATGTGGGTGCTGGGAACTGAACTCAGGTCCTCGGAAAGATCAGTACATGCTCCTAACTGCCAAGCCATCTCTCCAGTCCAAAACGATTATTCTTAAAAAATACAAAATAAGATGGGCCTGGTGGCACACAACTGTAATCTCAGCAGTTAGGAGGTGGTGGCAAGATGAGCAAAGTCCAAAGCCAATCTTGGCTACAAAGAGAGTTCAAGGCCAGCCTGAGTTCCAAGAGACTCTCAAGAAACCAAAAGATTACTGGGTGTGGTGGCACACACCTTTAATCTCAGCATGCAGGAGGCAGAGGGAGATGGATCTCTATGAGTTCCAAGTCAGCTACAACAGTAAGACCTCAAAAAAAAAAAAAGAAAAGGAAGATTCAGATTATATCTTCTCTTCCACAGAACGGGTACATAGAAATTAGATTGTGCCTCAGACAGATTTGCTTACCATTACGTGGCAGCACACACCTTTAATCCCAGTACATGGTAGGCAGAGCCAGGTGGATCTCTGTGAGTTCGAGGCCAGCCTGGTCTACAGATCGTGATCCAGGACAGGCACCAAAACTACACAGAGAAACCCTGTCTCAAAAAAAAAAAAAATCCACAAACAAACAAAAAAAAGAAAGTATTTGCTTACTTTCACTTATACACAAAGTCATACTATAAACCATCATCATTACCTGGCATATAGTAGTTTTCAACTATTTGCTAAATGACTGAAGACATCAATACTGTGTTTCCATGTATCTTAACTTTTTTTTTAAAAAAGGAGGAGGGTGGGAAACATGAATATATCAGAAAATGGCAACAAGTAACAACAGAACTAAAGAACAATGAAAATTTATGAGCCATGTATCCAGCCCTATGTGTTCCCCATGCTCATCCCATTTAAGGAGTCTCACAGTGTCCTCAAAAAGGTGGTATTTTTTAATCTTCATTTCATAGATGAAGGAATTAAGATGTAGAGTTTAACTTTGCCACAGGCCACAAAAGCCAGTTTTTTTAACTGAAAGAGTCTGTTCCTAAGTCTGAGCATATTGACCAACAGAAGTGAATTAAAAGTTTATTCCTCTACTTGCTACAATCCTGTCTTTCACAAACGTCCCTATACCCATGCCAAACTGGAAAACTTGGGCTACAGTTTACCCTTGAAAAGATGTTTCTGGCTACTCTAATCACTTCCAACATTTAATTTTCCCCATCCAAGTTGTCCTCCGGGGACTCATGGGAGCATGGAAGAAATCAACAAGTAAGCAATCTTCCTTAAGTCTCACTGGGCATACAAACCATACTTAAAGGCAGGCCCCATGTTCAGCAGTAGATGGCCAACACAAAACAAACTCAGTGGGATTTTGGGAGGGGATTTTTTGTCTCATAATGCTTTGTCTAGGCATTTTTTTTAATTTGTACGTCTATTGCTTATATAATATTTTGGTGTTTGGTTTTGTGGTTTTATGGGATTTCTGTGTGTGAGAATGTTTCTCTACATCTCTATCTGTTTTTTTCTTTGGCTCTTTTTTTTTCCTGTTTATTTTGTCCTGTTTGGGTTTGTTTTTATTTGGTTTTTAGATGTCTGTCTGTTTTTTTTTTTTTTTTTTGGAGCTGAGGATAGAACCCAGGGCCTTGTGCTTGCTAGGCAAGCACTCTACCACTGAGCTAATCCCCAACCCCTGTCTGTTTTCTGATAAGAGAAAGAAAGGGTGTGGATTCTGGTGGGTGGGGAGGTGGAGAAGAATCTAAGAGGAGTTTGGGGAGGGGAAACCATGATCAGAATGTATTATATGAAAAAAATATGTTCTCAATTAAAAAGAAAAAAGGTCTTCCTATGGATATGGAATGCAAAGGATCCACTCGGTTAAACCTATCTAGTGAGCAGGGCAAAGAAGCACCACATACCTGATGGTGAACATTTCATACTGAAGCCTATGCCTCTTCCAAAACCCCGACACTTCCCATCATTTCATTCTGGCACAAAGCAAAATTCATTACCTATCGCCAAATCTGCAAGCTCCCGTTTTACTGTAGAATGGACAATTGGCTCGATCTTTCTCCAGTACTCTTATATCCGTGGGCGGTTCTGGGTTCTGCCAGGTGCCACCATTTTCCAACTGTTAAAAATAACCATGACTTTATTGGTGATGTAAAAGCACATGAAAGACTGTTCATCCAAATAGTCAAATAGTTTAATCAAGAACAAAAATGGTTTCATATATAGACATGCATAGTTAAATTATAATACGGAATCAAGACCTTATAGGCAATTGTTCAGAAACATGAGCTGTACTTCTCTCTTGGCTCCCAGTCATTTTCCTTGACAGGGGGTTACTTAATGTTACCAGATGCAGTCATGAAGGTCTTCTTTCTATCCATCTATTCTGAAAGGGTCCATGGACGTAGGGAGCCACCAGAAAGAAGTACAAATTACTCTGAATCAAGGTGGGGAAACCAACCATTTGGGGCCAGTAGTATGTGATGTCACTTACATACATTTTTTAAGGACTTGATACAAGCATAGCCTATGGGGTGATTCAATACCATCATCAATTGTCTTCTGTTGTTACATAACTGAAGGGTTACAAAAGTGATTCCAGGTATACAGAAGTAATCAAACCAACCTACCACAAAACTCATGTCATTGGAACTATTGTTCCGAATGAAATATCAATTGACCTCAAAATCTTTTTTTTAAGGCAGTGTCTCTCTACATAGCCCAGGCTGGCCTCAAACTTGTGGTCATTCTCCTGCTTCAGCCTCCCCAGGGCTAGGACGACTGGAATGTGCCACCTCTACCTATCTCAAAGTCTTAATGAAAGGTTTTGAAAATACCTCATTTTCAGCCTGATCCAGCATCTTCTGCACAGCTTCCTATAAGTGGTGCAAACATAGGACTAATGAAAACCAGGATGTCAGCTAAGTCATGTCTGCTTTCTCTAGTTATGAATCTCATGTACGACAACACACACCTGAACACACATACAAAAGGCTTCTGATTCTGATTTCCTTTCTAAGCATATATCTTCTAAAAAGCTTTCAAAAGATATATAGCTTAGAATTTTTATTCAAATGCAAAATTTGAATAGAGCACATTGCAAATATTTAAGTCATAATAGCTTCAGTAACATATCTATACATAAATACCATATTCTAATTCTTGAGATATTAATGACTATCTTTTAAAACTTGAGTTAAACATCACAAATATTTAACAGAAGCAAAAACATGACATGATGAGCAGTAGTTAGGATTTGGGAGAAATTTCAAACCTTCAGTAAAATAAAGGAAGTCCAACAAGGTAGCAATAAATCTCTAACTAGTTGGATTTAAATACAAACAGTTAGGTAACTTAGCGCCTTAAAACCATACATACAACTGTGTTTAGCTGCTTATTTGGTAAGTCTACCTGGTCCTGGCAACTTAAAAGTCAGTGGAGCAGTCAGGCGTGGTGGCACACGCCTTTGATCCCAGGATTCGGGAGGCAGAGGCAGAGTTCGAGACCAGCCTGGTCTACAGAGTGAGTTCCAGGATGGCCAGGGCTACACAGAAAAGCCCTGTCTCCAAAAAAAACCAAACCAAACCAAACCAAAAACAAACAAACAAACCAAGTCATCGTAGCTTAATGTGATCAAAACAGGTTCTTTTGCGTTTGGTTTTGGTTGAGGGTTGGAGATCAAACTGAAGGTTTTACTTTTGCCACCCACCAAACAGAACTCTTGATCTCCTCCATCCACTCACCCTCATCATCCAAACCGAAATATCCTCAGTAACTGGCACTGCCATTTTCCCATTTGTTTAAAAAAAAAAAAAAAAACGAACAAACAAAACAAACAAAAACAACACCTAAAAACATGACTTCCATTCCCTTCCTTTTCCTTCCTCCTCCCATGCAATTTGCCACCAAGAGTCCTGTTAACTGTGTGCTCATCTGTTTGAAGCTCTGCCCTCACCCAAACCACCATTATCTCCTACCCAGATTATAATCGGTCGTCCTGTTTCCTCTCTGGCCCCTGTTCTTTGTAGAAAAAGAGGGATGATCTGTTGGAGGTAACATTACTAACAGGATGAACTCACTCATTGTTTTACAACTCTCATCACAGTATGGAAAATAAAACCAAACTCCTTTAAATCTAAGAGGCTCGTGATCCTCCTGCCTCCGCCTCCTTCAGCAAATCCCACGGAGTGCGACACCGACACAGTAACCTGGGCTCACATAACCTGGGTACACAGAGACTGAAGCAGCAAGCACAGGGCCTGCGTGGGTCTTCACCAGACCTTCTGCGCATGTTATGGCTGTTAGCTTGGTGTTTTTGTGGGACTCCCAACAGTGGGAGCGAGTGTACCTCTGCCTCTTTTGCCTGCTCCTAGGACTCTTTGCCTCCTATTGGGTTGCCTTGTCCAGCGTGGAAGAGGGCTTTCGCCCTGTCTTACTGTATCTTGTTTTGCCCTGTTTGATTCTTGTCTCTTAGAGGCCTGTTCTTTTCTGAAGAGGAAACTGAAGGGGAGTGGATCTGGGGGGGAAGAGGGGGAGGGAAGGGAAGGGAGACTGTGGTCTAGATGTACTGCTTCAGAGAAGAATCTATTTTCAACTTTAAAACAAAAACCTAAGAGGCTCTGCATGTCCTGCCCCTTCTGATCCTACTTTCTCCCATGCCCCTTCCCCAGTCTCCTGTGTTCTCTAAGTTTCAGGTCCCACCAGGATCCTTCCTCCCAACATCCCTACACTCAGGTGTAATTATCTCAAACACCACTTCCTCAGAGATTTCCTTGGCTGGGTAATCCAAATAAGAATCTTGATGCCCATTATTCTATCACACCACTCTCCTCTATTTCTTTATAGAACCTAACATTCCTACTGTATGATGTGTTTTGCTGACTTACTCTCTGCCCTCCCATCTAGAAAAGTCACTCAAGGAGAGCCGAGAAACAGACATAGCATATTCCTTTGTACATGCTTAGAGTGGAATTCATTTTACCCACTTCTCCTTAACCAGACTCTCTTTAAAACAAAAGCATTTAGAAGAAGCCTTAGCTTTTACCTGATCCCTGAAGAATATTCTACTGTTAAAACAGGAACTGATTCATCTCTGTAAAATACCGACAATCCAAACAATTGTTGTACCCCTAACATCCCCATCTGGATATTGCCTCATCTGGAAGGTAGTCCTCAACCAAGAGTGCCAAAAACCTGCATTGGAAATGCCGCCTGAGACACAAAACTAGTTGTGGAGAATGCTGATACCTTTCCATGACTAGAATGTACACACATTCTAAGATGAGTGACTACGGAAATGTCATGCCATTCAAATTTGGTGATGCTAAAGAAAAAAAGAATAAAGAATATCCTCATGAATCAGTCAAGGCAAGAAGAGCTATGTTATATTTGAAATAAATACACTGTTGAAGACCAGCAGGAAAACAAACCAAGCTTATAAAGAGAATCCCAGAAAATGTACAGGAGATATACATATACAATACAGAATTTCTTTTCTTTTCTTTTTTTTTTTTTAAGCAATAGTGGGGATTATTAAGGAAAGGCTTTTAACACAGATTTAAGCATAAGCATTAAGAGACAGAGAGAGAAACATGTAAGAAAAGGACAGTAGCATATGTCCTAGAATTGGCACAGGTTTCTCAAAGGGAAGGTCCTCTAGAATTTCGTAAATGACTGTCATTTGCTTTGATAACAAAATTAGACAGAACACCAGATTCAGTAACAAAACTATTTAATTCCTTAATGTCTAACATCCTGATTCTGTTAAACTAATTCTTGCTGAGATGCCATTAGCTGTTAAGTCTCTTATGAATCAAGTAAGTGTGGAAACTCTTCAAGATACTATTCTTCTGTGAAGAAGTCAACACATATACAACAGAACCATAGAAAAGTTAACACTTGCTACAGAGCGATACAGAGTGTAAAGCAGGGCCAGCCGCCCGGTTTACAGAAATGTTTTACTAGAACACAGGCACATCCATTCATATACGTACTATCTGTGTCTGCTTTAGGGTGCACTGGCAGAGCTGGATGTCCACAGAAGCCATACAGACATCACAGCCTAAAATATTGATTATCTGCCCCTTAAGGAAAATGTTTACCATCTCCAACATAAAAGGTAAGGTAACTTGGGTAAAGGAATCTGCCATTGCATGACCCAAAGAAGAGAAACATATGGAAGCTAGTCTAGTATATTTCTAACAAAAACTGATACTTTCCAAATGAACAGAGAACAAGCAAAAAAATAAAACCAAACCCAAGCCCTGACATGCCCACTGCCGGTTCTGCACACCCTTCACATGCACGCGTGCACACTAAGAAGATACGCAGGGCTCTATCCTCCTATGACAGAAGTCACCTCTCTTTCTCTCTTCTCCTGTTGTCTCTGCTCCTCTTCCTCTCGCTCTTTCCTCTGCTGCTCTTCCCATTCTGCCTTTAACTTTCTCTGTAAAGGAAAAAAAGAGAAGGTAATTTTTTTTCAGTCTCATTTAAAAACACATAGCCTACAGAGTAAATGATTGAAAAACTTTAGAAACACTGGTCACTGAAAAGAGACAACATCAGGTTTTTTAAATGTTAATACATGTAGCTCCCTTTTTGTTTACACAAAGTGGAGGAGAGAACCTAAGGCCTTGCACACGGTGAACAAGAGCTCTGTCACTGAGCTATATCCCCCAACCCCAAGACAAACAACTTCTTTAAAAGAGATTTTTATCTGTGTAGGAGTGTCCCTGTGGCGTATGTGCATGTGAGGGTACACACGCAGAGACAAAGAGCATGGGACCCTCAGAGCTCAAGTTAGACAGTTGTGAGTGGGTGCCGGGAAGGAACAAACCCAGGTCCTCTGGAAGAGCAGCACGTGAGTGTTCTTAACCACTGAGCTGTCTCTCCAGTCCCATAGCTAACAACTTTTTCTTTTTAAATGTATTTTATTTTATGTGTGTTGGTATTTTGCCTGCACGTAAGTATGTGTCTGCACCATGTGCATGCCTGGTGCCTCAAAAGCCAGAAAATCCCCTGGAACTGGACTTCTGGATAGTAGTGAGCCACCACGAGGCTGCTAGGAATCAAACCCGAGTCGTTAAGAAGAACCACCAGTGTTATTAACTGCTGAGCCATCTCTCCTGATAAACAGCTCTTGATGAGACTCATTTCGGTTAAGTACTTACTCAGGTAACTGGCTAGTTAATACTCTACCTCTTGGCCGGGCAGTGGTGGCGCACGCCTTTAATCCCAGCACTCGGGAGGCAGAGCCAGGCGGATCTCTGTGAGTTTGAGGCCAGCCTGGGCTACCAAGTGAGTTCCAGAAAAGGCGCAAAGCTACACAGAGAAACCCTGTCTCGAAAAACCAAAAAAAAAAAAAAAATACTCTACCTCTTGTTCTTCCCTCCGTTTTCGAGCTGCCTCTTCTTTCCTCTTCTTTGCCCTGAATTCTTCTTGTGCCTTCTCTTCCCTCAGTAACCATTCTTCATGTAATCTTTGCCTGTTAATATGATGATGTAGTCAGTAACAACAAATGGGAATTAATCTAGAATGTATGAAAGACAGGAAACCAAAATATGACATGAAAATCTTAAGGTTATTTTCTATAAAGCAGTGAAGAGGTATGGCTTTTGAAAAAGCAACTACCTTCCTGGACAGAAATAAGTTACAATTACTACTTGCACCTTTCAGAAGCATTTATGGCTGTGACATCTTTTCTTTCTATAAGAAGGTAACAGTGATTTTCATCTCAGGCAAACATTTCAAAGCAACATCTATGGGAATTTTCACATTTGCATAGCATTATTCTTCCTGAGCATTCTTTTCCCACAAACATTACTATTTCCTCCTCCTCCTCGTCTTTTGGTTTTTTGAAACAGGGTCTCCTCCCTATGTAGCCCTGGCAGTCCTGGAACTCACTATGTAGCCCAGGCTGGCCTGGGACTCAACAATCTGCCTGTCTCTGTGTCCCCTAGTGCTAAAATTAAAGGTGTGCACCACATCTGGCTAAATCTACATTTACTAATTTATTTTTATAACTTTTCATCTTGTCTTAAAACTTTTATTTGTATACGTATGAACATTTGCTGGCATGTAAACATGGGTATCACATGCATGCCAGAAGAGGCCAAAAGAAGGCATCAAATACCCTGGAATAGAAGTCATCTATAAAGATGACTGTGAGCAGCATGTGAATGCTGGGAACAAGACCTGAGTCAAAGTAAGTGCTCTGACTCAGTGAGCCTTCTCTCCAGCTCCCTTAAAACTTTTATTTTAAGACATGCTCACAACTAACAACCTAACTTTTTTCCAAGCAGCTTAATGTTTGAGGGCAAATCACAGGAATCCCTTAACTCTATGGAATAGAAACTCAAAGGTTACAGAGAATGATGCCAGGATTTTTAAAGCTATAATTACGAAACTGAATTTTTAAATGCATAGAATAGCCAGGTGGTACATGCCAAGGATCCTAGCAATTGGAAGGCTGAGGCAGGATTACAAATTCTAAGCTAATTTGGTCTTACAAAGCAAGACCCTAGCCCCTCCCCCCAAAAAAACAACACCCGTCCCCCAAAAAAGGTAATGTTACCATAAATTGCTATGTCCCAGGCATCCAATAGCACAAGCTTCTCATGTGAAATCTTCATTGTCAATTTGACTCGATTTGGAATCATCTAGGAAACACTGCCCTGGGCATGTCTATGAGGGAGTTCCAGGGCCTATTAACTGAGGAGGGAAGACTTGCCCTAAATATGAACCCATCTTGTAGACTGGGCTTCCTGTCTGAGTAATGATGGGAAAGGGAAAAAAGAAGCTGAGCACCTGCTCCTTGACTAAAGAAACAATTGGAGCCAGGCTGTGGTGGCGCATGCCTTTAATCCCAGCACTTGGGAGACAGAGGCCAACCTGGTCTACAGAGTAGCCAGTTCCAGGACAGCCAAGGCCACACAGTGAAACTGTCTTGAAAAACCAAAAAAACTATTAAACACACACACACACACACACACACGAATGAAAAAAAAATAGAGACAATTGGAACAGCTGTTTCTTATTCCTACTGCCAAAGCAAGGGCAGCTCTTGTTACCACACTTTCCTCACTCGAAGTACAGAGGATTAAAAATTATGAATAAAGAATTATGCTACATCCATAGTGTCATTAGAATTAGGTCTTTGTGTCAAGACTAAAATATACTAAGTTTATTTACCAATTAGAAAAGCAATGAAAAATACTTCCCCTAAAAAAAAGTATGATAGCACAAGCCAGTAACTCCAGCATTTGGTAGGCTAAGGCAGGAAGAGGAGATCGGCCTGGAAAAGAAAGAGAAAAGAGAGAGAGGGAGGGAGGGAGAGGAGGGAGAGGGAGAGGAAGAGAGAGAGAGAAAAGGAAGGAAGGAAGGAAGGAAGGAAGGAAGGAAGGAAGGAAGGAAGGAAGGAAAGAAGACATCTAATTTTAACCTGTCAGCTAGAGATGTAGTTTATAAGATGTAGTTTTTACAAGATTTTATACAAAAAGCCTTTATTAGTCGGTAATGACAGAAAATATCACAATAAACTAACAGTTCACTTTAAGTGTTTCAGTCAGTCCTGACCTCTCTTCCTCCATCAGTCTTTCTTCTTCCAATCGTTTTTCTTCAGCAAAAGCATCTTCTTCCTCCTCTTTCTGTGACAATTCTGTAGAAATTCAGATGTTTTATTAAACTGAGTCTTTATTCATGGAAAATGCATAAATCTTTCATCTGTACAATTATGATAAAAACCTAAAATTAAGGCAGTGTCGCACGCCTTTTATCCCAGCACTCAGGAGGCAGAAGCACATGGATGTATGAGTTTCAGTAAATTCCTAGTCAGAGCTAGAGATCCTACCTCAAAAAATAAAAGTATCTTCAAAGGAATAGCAGTAGTAAGCCACCATGTGGGTACGGAACCTTCATCCTGTGGAAGATCAGCCAGTGTTTTTTTTAACTTTCATTCTTCTCTCACACATTACATCCCAAGGGCAGTTACCCCTCCCTCCACTCCTCCCAGTCCGTTCCCTGCACCTCCTCTCTTCCCCAGATCAACTCCTCCTGCATCCCCTCAAAACACAAATCAAAACAAAACAAAAATAAATAAATAAATTAGAAAAAAAAGAGCAGGCCTCCCAGGGATACATATCCCCCAAACAAGAGAAAGGGTTTCTCTGTGTAGACCAAGCTGGTCTCTAACTCAGAGATCCACCTGCCTCTGCCTCTCAAGTGCTGGGATTAAAGGTGTGTACCCCCAATGGCACTAGCTGCAGCCAATGGTCTTAACCATCCCTCCAGTCCTACATTATTTTTTTTAAATCCATGGTTCCATAATGATACGCATGACATTGCTGTGCAAAGGGTTCAGAAAAAAACAGAGAGGGGAGGAAAGGGCGGGAGGGAGCGAGCCTGGAAATATTTAACCATTTGGCAAATTTATATGAAGCATGAATATTGAAGTGTCCTATTTTTTTCAACATTGTGTACATTGGAATATTTTCAAAGTAAAAACATGGTGAAATAGTCTCAATAGAAGAAAACTGTCTATCTTCTATTCGAAATTTAAATTTGAAGTGGGGGGAAGCAGTAACAATGGAGACAAATGAAGTAAGTTTAAGAAATTGCTTAACAGCTCATCTTCAGGCTTAAAGGAAAGGGATGTTGTCATCAATAACAACAGTTTACCGCTGTTTTTCTTTTCATCCTTGCCGTTACATCTTGTCTCTCCTGGACTAGTCCTTTCTCAAGTGCTGTGAAGTACAGTCTCTCATACCAGTGGTATGACTGGCAGCCATCATAACTTAGAACTACTGTGTGATTTCAACCCTTGGCCTGCATTTATAAGTACTAATTTTATAAATCTACTAAATTTATAAATCTAAAACATAAATATCAGATCCTGTCACGTGAAAGCCAAACAGCATGGTGTCAGGTTTGTGCAGGAAATTGCATGGGCTGGGGAATGTCATGCTCAGCTGGTAGAGTGCTTGCCTAGCATGCAGAAATAATCAGAAGCAACCTGGCATGGTGGCTGCATTCCTGTCACCCCAGAACAGGGGAGATGGAGACAGGAGAATCAGAAGTTCAAAGTCATCCTCGGCTACAGAGCGAATTTTAAAGCCAGCCTGTTTGAGGCCACATCTCAAGCAGGAGTGGGGGTGGGGCAGCAGAGGGAAAAATTTCATACCCAGAACAAAGAAGGCCTCTCCTACCTGCATCTCTCAATCGAGCAAGCTCCTGCCGCCGTTTCCTGCGTCTCTCCTTCCTCAGGACAGCCTTGTACTGCTTATGGCTGGAAGATTGGAAAGCACACACAGGGTGTGAACTACAGCGCACAGGGTGCAACACTCTCAGCTCCGGGCCTACCAAGGACAGCGCTTCGGAGGCGGAGGACGCGGGTGGGCTTCTCTTGCAGAAACCCCGACTCCCGCCATTCCGTCCCGCCCCCCCAACCCTCCATCTGCTCCCTCTCCTCGCCCCCCCCAACCCATAGCTGCCTAGGACTTCTCGTGCTGCAACCCCGACTCCCGCCATTCCGTCCCGCCCCCCCAACCCTCCATCTGCTCCCCTTCCTCGCCCCCCCCCAACCCATAGCTGCCTAGGACTTCTCGTGCTGCAACCCCGACTCCCGCCATTCCGTCCCGCCCCCCCAACCCTCCATCTGCTCCCCTTCCTCGCTCCCCCCCCCCAACCCATAGCTGCCTAGGACTTCTCGTGCTGCAACCCCGACTCCCGCCATTCTGTCCCGCCCCCCCAACCCTCCATCTGCTCCCCTCCTCGCCTCCCCGAACCCATAGCTGCCCGGGACAGTCAGGGATTCTGGCCCGAAGCGGATTAATACTCGTCCCCACGCGCGCGGCGGCGGCCGAGGGGCCTCAGCTCATCATCTGCTGTGCTATACCTCATTTTCTCGCGGAGCGCTGTCGGCCCCGATGCCGCCATGTTGCCGCCTTCTCTCCCACAGCAAGGTCTGAGCGGAAGTAGCCTCCCTGATGACGAGCTCTGCCGCCCACTCAGCGCAGCCACCGGGGCGGGCCCAAGACAGAAGGAGGGAAGTTTCCTCCCGCCCCTAGTCAGGCAGGCACCGAGGCCTGAGGAACTGTTTCCTCACCGAAGCCGCCTCCGGAGCTCTCCCTCCACCCGCAACTCCGGCCCCTGCTCCTCAGTGCCTCCTCGCCGCTTCAGCACCACCCCTAGCCGTCTGCGCCATCAAACGGGGCCCCGAACTCAAGGAGTTAAAGCCAGGCCCCGCCCCCCGCCCCGCCTCTTTCAACTCTCAACTCTCAATTCCAGCCCGCGCAGCCTCGCCTGGTCCCTCCGAGACGCCTCCCGGCCCTGCCACTCTCTGCGGCTCCACCTATCAGCGCCTCAGGCCGAGCGCAAGACCCCGCCTCCTCCTTGTCACTCCGGGTGGCTCCAGCTGCAAAGGTGTCAGGTTTGTCACCTGGTTGTTTTACTCCCGGGACACAGACAGAGACTGACAGTTAGGTTATAAGGTGCAGGTGAAGGTGATTTATTGCTCCGCTCCGGCGCTTGAGTTGAGCTTGGAAGGAAAACGGTCTTTACCAAGGGAGGGAAGGCCAACCTGAGCTACCTGAAACCATGTTTACAAAAAAGAAAGACAAAAAAAAATTGAATACTGTATCACAAAAATCTAGGTAAGGAGTGATGTGGAACTAGACTGAAAAAACAAAAATAGGGCTGGCAAATGGTTAAGCAGGTAAAGGTGCCTGCTACCAAGCCTGAGGACCTGAGTCCAATCCTCAAAGACCCACATAGCAGGAGAAAAAAAATGGACTCCCACAAATTGACCTCTTACTTTGGTATGCGCACCTACACGTGCTCCCACACAAAATAAATAAATGTAAAAACAAAAAAGAAAGAAAAAGAAACCCTTGCTAGTAATAAAGCCAGAAACAAGACCAAAAAAAAAGAACTGTTTCTACTAAACACACATTAACACCATCTTTTGGAAGAATTGTGCCTTGATTTATCTTCGTACAGAACAAACAAAAACAGGGTTTTATTCACATTTCATGAGCAGTCTTCTCAGGTAGGAACAGGTTCTGATAACGGGAAGAGACCCCTACTTGCAAGCCATAAGCACTTTCTCAGGACTTTGATGACAAGGAAGATCTTGGAGAGGAAGAAGGGGTATTTGTCCCAGAGTGGGACAAAGGACTGCCTCCAGATAGAGAGGAGACAGATGTGGCACATAGGAAAATGACAGTTTATGAAGGTAAAGGGAAAACCCTGTGTTAGGATGAGGTGGACAGGCTAATTTTTATTGGGCATGTTAATTAGGTGACCCAAAGGGGGCTTTTGATTGCTGGCCTTCAATATTATGGTAGCTAGAGCTTGGTGGTCAGCCTCAGGAGGAGAAAGTAGCCAAATAAGGGAATGGACCTTGGTGGCTAGCTTTAGGAGTGTAATCTATTGGGTTTTTTAGCAAGGCAGAGGGAATGGGGGAGAAGGGCAAGGCCTGCCAGAGCCATGTTCGCCACGCCTGGGTCAGCCAGAGTTCCTTCGATACCTACACACAATGCTTAGCAATTGTATCACCAAACTTAAGCCAGGAAAGCGTCATTATCGTCATCATTATTGTGAAAACTTCCTGACTCTCCTACCAAGTGTGGGTTAGCACTGGTGGTGCCACATTCCCGTCACGTGTATTTCACATCTATCCCACTATGTTGGCCTGGCTTTCTTCCCTTGGATGCTTCTTCCATTAAAGCTTTTGCTTGTCTCATTTTGTTTCTTGCAAACAGATCTCATGTAGTCTCAAATCCACTAGATAGCCAAGCATGACTTTGAACTCCTGATCCACCTGTTTCTACATCCCAGGTGCTGGGATTATGGGTGCATGCTACAAACCTAGCCCTTGCATAAATCTAAACTTTTTGTCAGATGGATGGCACTGATGATTGCAGCTGTGTGACTCACCAGTCGTACAGATCCCTGTGACTAGGATTTGCACTTCAAATTGCTGCCATTGGGAAAGCATCAGAGCTTTAGTGACTGCAACATGCACTGCATGTGACTGTCACTTTCGAACAAAAAGCATATCTTCCGGGAAGATGTTCCAATTTTTATAAAAGACACAGATGTAGATTTCATTTTATTATGATTGATAAATGAATGTAAATCTCCTCCAATTGGAATAAGACATTTATTTTCAAGTTAACTACTGAATTCATTTTCAGGAAACAGGCTTAAATTGCTCAAGTTAATTTCTTTACAGAAGGAGCTCTGAAAGCCAATTCCATTTCCAAACTAAAATTACTATCATTTGAATTCAATAAAGAAAAATGTCTTCCTAAACTTTTGGGGAAGAGATGCCTAGTTTTAGAATAGAGAACCTTATCCTAATCCATGTGCAGGATAGCTAGTGCTCTGGTGACATCTAACCTACCCGGTTCTCCCTTCTGTCTTACCTATACTTCCTTAGAGTAATCAGAGAATCTGTTGGCCAAGCATGGCCTGCCCAAAATAGCCTGGACATTGTTCTGGCACTTCCTTGGGAATGTCCCATTTCAGATTAGGGAGGAACTGCTCTGGACAGCCCAAACTTTATTCCACTCCATTCAAAGCAGGATGCCCTTTCAGTGTTTGCCTAGTAAGTCCTACAGCCCTTGAGGTATACAACCTGGAGACAGCATCCTTTTTTTTTGGGGGGGGGTGGCTCGAGTGAAGCAGATGCTGTCTAGATTCTGTCTATCTCGGGAAACTTTGGAGGACCAGCTCACAGATGACCCTAGGATTCACTTGTGCCTTGTACTGATCTGTGAGAAATATGCCCGCTTTGTCAAATTTCTACATGAACATGCTCTGTTTTACCACTTAGATGAGTTGGCAACGTCTGTGCAGTAACCCTAACCCACGGCATGTAGTCCTGGAAAAGAAGAATAGGGCTGGCAGCCTGCTCGGTCTAGTGCCAGCTGGAGATTGTGCTGGGCTATGCAGAGAGGTGAGCTATGGGAAATTGGCTGGTTCTCCCCATTACTGCTTCTCTAGTAAATCCCTTCTGAGTTTTCCAGTTGCTATCTCATGTGTTAAAGGGTGTCTCATTGATTTTTGCAGATATCTTACATATTCAAACATGTAGTGAGAATGAAAACCCATTAACATTGTAAATAATAATAAAAATGTGGAAGGACTCAGTGAGCTATTACTACTTAATGGAGATGAGCAGCAATTTTCATTCCAAACTCTTTCTTTGGCTAAGGAGGTAGCTCAATTGGTATTGTGCTTGCCAACAATGTACAAGGCACTGGGTTCAGCCCACATGAAACTGGGCACGGTTATTGTTGTGCTTGGAATGAAAAATGTCCCCCACAGGCTCAGGTATTTGAACACTTGGTCCCCAGTTGGCGGCAGTGTTTGGAAGGGCTCTGGAATGAGCCTTTAGGAAGTGGAGCTTTGCCGGGGGAAGTACATCGCTGGAGGTAACCTTTGAGTTATATTTATAAATTTATGTATTTATTTATTTATGTATTTATTTAGTTATTTATTTTAAAATGTCATTAGGCAGCTTCTCGCTCCTGCCACCATTCCTGCATTCTGCCATGCCCTCTGCTCTATCCCTCAGGAACCATAAGCCAAAAGAAACCCTTTCTTCTCGAAGTTGCTTTCAGTCAGGCTATTTTATGACAGCATCAGAAAAGTAATACAGTGGCACACATTTGTAACCCCAGGACATGGGAGGTGGAGGCAAGAACATGAGGAATTTCATGGGATCTTCAGCTACCCAGAGAGTAGGGGGGCAATCTGGATACATGAGATATGAGACGGTGACACACACACACACACACACACACACACACACACACACACACACACACACACACCACACCACACCTCCAGACCAGACCCTGGGTCAATTCATGTTTAGGAAGGTACAAACAAAACTTATTTTAAAGTACAGGGCCTGTGGTGGTTTGAATAAGAGTGACCCCCAAAGGCTCAAATGTTTGAATGCTTAGTCATCAGGGAGTGACACTATTTAAAAAGGATTAGAAGGTGTGGTCTTGTTGGAAGAAGTATGTCCCTGGGGGGATTTGGAGTTTCAAAAGCGTACCCCAGGCCTAGTGTCTTTCTCACTCTGCCTAGAGATCAGGATGTAGCCCTCAACTACTTTTCCAGCTCCATGCCTGCCATGCCCGCTGCTGTGCTCCCCACCATGATGATGATGGACTAACCCTCTGAAACTGTAAGCCAGCCCCCATTAAATGCTTTCTTTTGTAAGAGTTGCCTCAGTCATGGTGTCTCTTCACAGCAACAGAACAGTGACCAAGACAGGGTCTCACTATGTAGCCCCGGCTGCTTGGGAACTTGTTAGGTCGACTAGACCTCAAGCTCACAGTGATCCACCTGTCTCTGCTTCCTGAGTGCTGGGATTAAAGGGATGCACCACTATGCCCACTCAAATAAAACATTTTTAAAGGCATAAAAGGGAAGGCCCAGAGGCTGGGTGGCATGTTGGGACATGCTCCTACTGTGACACAATGCTCTCTTCTGGGAATAAGACCCAAGGTAGCTTGTGGCCCAGTTTCTGGTGCTGGTCAGCTTCCCTCAGAAGCAGAACTCTGCCTTGCCAGCCTGGTTCCCCACTTTATCCTTGATCTGTACAGTGGGCCTGGGAAGGACTCCCAGAACTGTGAATGGGAAATCATACTAGTCTCAACTTTAACATGGCTTTATTTTCTAAGGCAAGCAAATGCAAAAGACATTTGTGTGATCAAGATTTCTCAAGAAGCAGGGTGAGGTGACCTGTGAGGATGGGTCACTACTCTCTAAACCCAGAAAGTCTATAAAATCATGCAAATCAAGAAGTTCATATCTTCATGTGAAACTGCCCAGGCTGTCAAGGGTATGCATATCCCAAAACCCACCATCTCAAAGATGTCACTTTAAAGAAGGAATGTGGGTCATTCCTGCTGTATGATGAAGTGTGTGGGTGTCCCCTGACGAAACAGTGGAGATGGACAGAGTGTCTATGGCCCCCACAGAGGGTTTGAAAGTAGATTCTCTAGTTACTGAACATTTCTAAGTGAACAAAGCACCCAAGATGTACCACTGAACTTAGAGAGCTTATGGTGGGATTACCCCATGGGTGAGCTCGCCTGCCACATGGAGATGAGCCTCACTGAAGAGGAACAAATTGTTCCAAAGCCAGAAGAAGAGGCGCACAGAAGAAAGAGATAACCCAGAAGAAACAAAA